AGGCTTGGATTTGAACCTGATACAAATTTTATGTCATTTCAGTTTCTCTTAAAAAAAAAAAAGGACGGCATGGTAGCCTAGTGGTTAAAGCGTTTGCTCATCATGCCAAGACCTGGGTTCGATTCCAAATATGGATACAATGTGTGGTGACCAATTGTGGTGTTCTCTGACGTAATATTGCTGGAATATTGCTAAAAACGATGTAAAACTGAACTCACTCACCCATTTTGAAAAAAGTTATTCCAACTGCAGTGAGTTCCTTTTAAGAACGTTAAGCTGATAGAGGTGAACCAGGTCATCTAAGGCAGAGTTTTGAAAACTCATAAGATCAGAATAAGTACTCTACTCTGTCATCTGGCTTTTTTTGATTACTTATCATGATGATCATGTGTCATTTAACCATAATTTTGAAATAATTATGCTGGATATTTGATGAGATTCATCTGTAAGAATATGAATCCAATGTAGAGATGATGATAGCCCAGCTAGGAGGCTGGGAGATAACAACAACCATTACTGTGTGAAATGGTGGTTTAGATTACTGAAATTAAGGGGCAGTTGGTCCCCTTGAATGTCTTTATGAGTTTATCAGAACACTATTATTTGGAATTGAATTAAACCTTTGTGGAACTTTACTCCGATGTTTGAATTAACCCCACAGCTGTTTTAAGGCTGCAGCCTCTGTAACTGTTTAAATCTTGGTTACATTTTTTTTACATTTCACTTTCAAGACCCTCTGAAGTTTAGCTGTGAGTTAAGCAAACAAAACACTTGTGAAAGTTACAATTTTGGGTTTACATTTATCGTCACAAATGTTTGAACAATGTTCACAGTTGTCATGATTTCTCTCTATCGTATTGATTTAGAAATCTAGTCCTTTTGATTTCAGATTAAGCTCGGGGCAGAGAACAGAATTATAATCCCAACCCCTATCTTGGATGATTCTAGTGCATCTTCACAAGCACACTTGAGATCTTTATCAAGTTTGGCTTCCTTGATGAAGAAAGTTTCGGGGTCTGTAGAGATCTCATATCTGAAATTTGCCATATGGAAAATATGATTTTTTCACTGCAAAAAAAAGATTTTCATTTCCTTGAGATATTGATTTTGTTAATCTCAGTGCTTGAGATGATTTTTCAGATAGTTAATAATATTTTTTACAAAATAGAAAAGCAGCAGTTTGGAAGTGTCAAAGTCAGAATTTCAATCATATGCGTGATAAAAGAGCTGGGTTAATTACTACTTTGAACAGTGCTTAATACATGTCTGTTCAGTATGGGAGAAAAGCATACAATGACTAGGGATGCCACGATACATCGATACATCGATGCAGCGATACTTTTTCTAAGACGATACAATTATCGATACATTCAAAACTGTATTGATATTTAGTTTTGAAAGTATCGGTTTAAATATGTTTATGTATTGTTTACATTTTGCAATTGTATCATGTTTTTTTGATGTTATGAGAGTTATAAATGATTATTTTTCATGTACAAAGATGGGAAATTAGAACTTTTAAATCTCTGAGAATAAAAAATGTGGATCTTTTCATGGACAATTATAAAATATGAAATATTAATGTTCAAAATGTAACTAAATTTACGAAAATAGGTAGCGTGATACGTATCGAATCGTGGACATGGGTATTGTGATATGTATCAATTCATGAAACTTATGTATCATGACATCCCTAAAAATTACACTGGTAAAAGTTTACAACTGTGAAAAAAATAAAAATAGGTATATGCTAGTGGCCAAACATTCCAACCCACAGGGGGCGGTGGGGTAACCTAGTGGTTAAAGTGTTCGCTCATCACGTCGAAGACCCGCGTTCGATTACCCACATGGGTACAATGTGTGAAGTCCATTTCTGGTGTCCCCTGCCATAATATTGCTAGAATATTGCTAAAAGTGGCGTAAAACTAAACTCCAACCCACAGACGACAGATCCTGATGTGACTATGGGAGGCAAGTCTGAACAGAAACATGCAGCATCTTACACCACCTGGCCATCTGTACCGTGTCAATCAGTGGATCCCTACAGCATTAAGGGATGCAACTCTGAACAGACACATGCAGCATCTTACACCACCTGGCCATCTGTGCCGTGTCAATCAGTGGATCCCTACAGCATTAAGGGAGGCAACTCTGAACAGAAACATGCAACATCTTACACCACCTGGCCATCTGTACCGTGTCAATCAGTGGATCCCTACAGCATTAAGGGAGGCAACTCTGAACAGAAACATGCAGCATCTTACACCACCTGGCCATCTGAGCAATGTCAGTCAGTGGATCCCTACAGCATTAAGGGATGCAACTCTGAACAGAAACATGCAGCATCTTACACCACCTGGCCATCTGTACCGTGTCAATCAGTGGATCCCTACAGCATTAAGGGAGGCAACTCTGAACAGACACATGCAGCATCTTACACCACCTGGCCATCTGTACCGTGTCAATCAGTGGATCCCTACAGCATTAAGGGATGCAACTCTGAACAGACACATGCAACATCTTACACCACCTGGCCATCTGTGCCGTATCAATCAGTGGATCCCTACAGCATTAAGGAGGCAACTCTGAACAGAAACATGCAACATCTTACACCACCTGGCCATCTGTACCGTATCAATCAGTGGATCCCTACAGCATTAAGGGAGGCAACTCTGAACAGAAAAACATGCAGCATCTGTACACCAGTGGATCCCTGGCCATCTGAACAATGTCATCTTACACCACCTAGCATCTGTGGTGTCATCAGTGGATCCCTACAGCATTAAGGGATGCAACTCTGAACAGACACATGCAACATCTTACACCACCTGGCCATCTGTGCCGTGTCAATCAGTGGATCCCTACAGCATTAACCACCTGGGAGGCAACTCTGAACAGAAAAACATGCAGCATCTTACACCACCTTGCCATCTGTGCCGTGTCAATCAGTGGATCCCTACAGCATTAAGGGGAGGCAACTCTGAACAGACACATGCAACATCTTACACCACCTGGCCATCTGTGCCATCAATCAGTGGATCCCTACAGCATTAAGGGAGGCATCAATTGGATCTGAACAGAAAGAAACATGCAGCATCTTACACCACCTAGCCATCTGTACAATCGTGGATCAATCATCTTTACACCACCTGGATCCCTCAGTGGACAGCATTAAGGGAGGCAACTCTGAACAGAAACATGCAACATCTTACACCACCTGGCCATCTGTGCCGTGTCAATCAGTGGATCCCTACAGCATTAAGGGATGCAACTCTGAACAGACACATGCACCACCTGGCATCTTACACCACCTGGCCATCTGTGCGTGTGCAGCATCTTACAATCAGTGGATCCCTACAGCATTAAGGGAGGCAACTCTGAACAGAAACATGCAGCATCTTACACCACCTGGCCATCTGTACCGTGTCAATCAGTGGATCCCTACAGCATTAAGGGAGGCAACTCTGAACAGAAACATGCAGCATCTTACACCACCTGGCCATCTGTGCCTCTGTCAATCAGTGGATCCCTACAGCATTAAGGGATGCAACTCTGAACAGACACATGCAGCATCTTACACCACCTGGCCATCTGTACCGTGTCAATCAGTGGATCCCTACAGCATTAAGGGAGGCAACTCTGAACAGACACATGCAGCATCTTACACCACCTAGCCATCTGTACCCGTGTCAATCAGTGGATCCCTACAGCATTAAGGGAGGCAACTCTGAACAGAAACATGCAACATCTTACACCACCTGGCCATCTGTACCATATCAATCAGTGGATCCCTACAGCATTAAGGGATGCAACTCTGAACAGAAAAACATGAAGCATTTTACACCACCTGGCCATCTGAGCAATGTCAGTCAGTGGATCCCTACAGCATTAAGGGAGGCAACTCTGAACAGAAACAAGCATCTTACACCACCTTGCCATCTGTGCCATGTCAATCAGTGGATCCCTACAGCATTAAGGGAGGCAACTCTGAACAGAAAAACATGCAGCATTTTACACCACCTGGCCATCTGAACAATGTCAGTCAGTGGATCCCTACAGCATTAAGGGAGGCAACTCTGCAAAAAAAAAACATGCAGCATCTTACAGCATCTGCCCTTCTGAGCCATGTCAATCAGTGGATCCCCAACAGCACACCAAGTCAGCCAACTCACCCACTCTGCCACCTCGACTAACTTTATGTGCTGGCAATTAGGTGCCTGACTCTGAGAGTATGGGTTTGAATCCCAGATGGGACTCAAACCAACAAAAGTACTAGAATTTGTACTTTACTGAGAAAGTGTAATCCAAAATATAACGTCTTACATTTGACCACTTTCTAAATGGCATTCATACCTTTGTATTACCATGAACAGGTATTGTACAAACAATTAGAGGATAAGAATCCTATCAGTTCAGAGGAAAAGACCCTCACACAGACCTTTAAAGAAATATGTCAATGAAGGACTATAATTGTTGGCATGTCAACATAATGTAGCTTCTGAAAATGAAGAGAGTCTCTGGACTCCTTTGTATTGTGTTTTCTTAAGACAACTGTTTTTTCTGTAAAACTTTTTCCTTTCAGTGAGTAGTGGGGCACCCTGAGAGTTTTTCTTGACAAATATTTGATTTTCAGCTTATACTTTAACTGGACATTGAAAGATGATTCCTGGAAAACAGAAGTTGGTGTTAAGCCTCCTGAGCCCGTCTAATTCCAGATTCTGAATCCAACGTCAAGAAAAATCATGTAATTCTCTCCCAATCTTTTAACAATGGCTCAAGCATCACAGATTCAGAAGTTGCTTGACTCAAATGGATTTTCTAAAAGGAATTATTTTCTTTTTTTCTCCAGGATGTTTAATCTTTAAAGATACAACACAGTTTTTCCATTTTTGGACATTTCGGGCATTCTATAACATCTCCCCTCAAGAACTAGACTTGCACACCTAAATTTTCAAACCCCAGATGCGTTTTTTTAAATAATGTGAAATGTATAATTTCAGAGGTTAAAATGGTTGGCGCCTACAAATCCATGAATTTCCAGCCACAGAGAATCACGTTACGCTCGCCCAAGTTCCCACAGCGATCGTCTTCATCAAGAAGCCTCAACAATGGTGAGTCAACCGAATCATGTTTTTAAATTTTTTGTTTTAAAATGGCTGTCATGATCAGAGGCAGTTGTAAACTTGCGTAATGCAAAGTGACGTGATCCCCTAGGGTGTTAATGGTTTTCAATGAATGAGAATCATCACCAGGGCAAGGCGAAACTTGAAGTGCCTCTTCACAAATGAAAGACACGATAGATGACTCATTGTTTGGCAGGAACGATTTTTCTTATTTTTGTTTGTGCAAAAGACAATAATTCAACCCCAATAAAGCTTTGGTCAAAAGTATGTAAGGCCTTACTTTATATTTTACAGATCTGCTAGCCTGAAAAATTGAATATTGTTCAAACAAATATCAGAATAGGACAATTTGTTTTGTTTCGTTGATGGTAAAGATTGTTTTAACTCTACAAATAATCCATGTGATTTTTATACAAAAACAGACTAATTTCCATTTAAAAATTGTCATCACAAGCCAGATTTAAGGTTTATAATATTTATAATAAACCATACCAGAGCAAGAAACAATATATTTGCGTTATAACTTAAAGATGATTATCAAATGCATTTTCAACATTACAAAAATCAACCTGCAGACAACTGTGTTGCTGACAAAATGTGTAACACTTCCCAACCCCATTTTTCACATGTTGTTTATTACTTCATGATATTTGACCCATCATAACAAGACAAGCTGTTTTAGGTTTGATTTTGATTTCAACCATAAACTCAATGGTTTTATAAGGTGGAATCTGTAATCTAAGTAATAAAAAAGGTGATTTATGAAATATCAGATCATTACAGAACCTTTGATTTTGGTTGCTTTAGCCTCCATAAGGTCTTAAGAAGGTTGCATCTGTATGGAATAGCTGAGACATAATCCTAGTTTCTGGTTCACTGAGAGAAATTCCTTTCTTCGCCCTTTGCTGTAAATAATCTGATTAGTATCAAGATTCATCAATATTGATGAAAGATGGGTTGAACTGATATCTTTAAATCAGAATATTACTGTGGTGCTTTTAGGGATCTCTAATGGATGTTTAAGTGTTTGAAGTGGCTGGTGGACTCGCTGTGATAATTACAACATTAGGAGAATATTACCTGCTAGCATCAACACAAACCATTACGTTATGGAATGATGCAGGAATCTTTTGATCACTCCAGTTTAAAGTTTTTGACAAATATTTGATGTAGTTATCCATTCCTATTTTTTTAAACCCTTTACATTTATAGGCACTATTTTTATTTTTGGGTTCAATAACCTTGTAAATGGAAAATAAATGTTTAATATCATATTTATTTCACAGCCTAAGATGTGTTGACAAGAAGATAGTATGAGAATGTAGAATGCTACATGTAAAGAAGCACTAAACTAATAGTTGAACTGTTGTGAGGAGAATATGTTCACTGGGTAAGCAACAGTTCATTTCCTATCTATTTCCTATACTTGTGGTAAGAGGCGACTTATGGGATTGGTTGTCAGGCTCGCTGATTTGGTTAAAACATGTAATCGTATCCCATCTGTGAAGATTGATGATCATAATGTTGATCACTGGATTGTCTGGGGTTGATTATTTACAGACCGCTGCCGTATAGCTGGAATATTGCTGAGTGCATTGTAAACAACAAACAAACATCTCTCTAGAAGAGTGTAGAACAGGGTGAAGTGTTGCATAGTGTGTTAGCATGGACACTTAGTATCACAATATATTTGACGTCCATGGTACCATTGAAATATTATTCAGGATACATCTTGCACTATTATTTAGGGAAGTAATTTTCATTTTTTGTTTTACCAGAGCCAGTAATTATAACTTTATGAAAAGTAAGGAAATTAAAAAAGACATATTTAATTTGGTTGTGTGTCAGGTTTGTCCCCATTATTATTTTAACAAGGAACAAGATCACAAAATTTCTAAGGGCATGACACATACTATTTTCCACATGTCTACTTAAAGGACATTTTATTCAAAATAGCTTGAATTTGACATTGTTATTTTGAGTCACAGTAAATGTATAGTTGCTAGGGTGATGAGACAAGCATCAAAAAGAGGTGCACACTCTAAAGTTACAGAACAGCCATCATACATAGAGTGTGCTACTGATTGTCTCACTCCAAATTGAAAGTGCACAAAGTTTTACGAGATGGTAATAGCGGTAGTAGCTCTTCAATCATCCCAGGCCAATTTAAATTGTGTGGTCAATTCGTCAAGAGGCAAGCTTCAAACATCGAAGGAAGGTTACAGGATTCATTTGTAATATGATGTTATACACTATAACTTCCAGAAAACGATCTCTTCAATTAAAAAATATTTTCATGAAGCATATTTTCAATCAAACAAGTTTCTGGTTTTTGGTATGGGTTTGCGAAATGTTGGATAACCTCATCCATCTAGCAAGATTGGTAAGTCTGGCTAAATGAAGTCCTCAAGTCGAGAGAGCAGTGATGAGTCCAAAAAGATTTTTGTTGTTGAATTTGCTCACCAGGAAACTAAGATAGATGAAACATTTCGAATCAGTCTTTGAATGGCATTTAGATGCTAAATGAAATGGAAAATGTAGGGTAACCTCATCCATCTAGCATTGGTTAGTGGGGTTAAATGAAGTCTTCAGAATCGGGAGAGCAGTGATGATTCCAACAAGAGTTTTGGGTCTGAATTCACTCACCAGGAAACTAGAATAGATAAAATATTTCTGAACACAAGTCTTTGAAGGTCATTTAGAAGTCAAACACATAAAGGATAAATTTATTGACGTTGACTTCTGATATATTCGTAACATGACGTTTCAGAGTACATTCTTTCTCCTTCAAATGTCATTGAAAGACTTTAATTGTGTAAGTATTATTTTTCACCTTGTGGGTAACTATATTTATCAGACTAAATACGTAGGGGAAACAAAGCACTATGAAATATGATATAATACCATGGATTTGGGGGAAAAGGGCTACTTCCAACTGTTTCAAATTTTCTGATCGCTTGTTCATTTCATAATAAATATGGATAGTGGTTTGTGTACAGACCTGTTGTCTGTTTCGGGTTTTTTGGTCGTTTTGCGTTCACATTCCATAAATATCATGCATATGTGGTATTGCATAAATGTGATCATCTGTAGTTTTGTATATAATTCATGAAAATGCAGTCCAACCTGTGTCTGAGCTTGGTCTGAAATGAAAATAATTTGTTTTAGGTGTTTGTACTTTTTCCTCTTCATGTAACATAATGGTTTTATTCAGAATCTTGAGGAACAATTGTTCTGGATAGACAAGTTCTTTTTTGCAATGGATACAGCATTCTGGTGTAGTTCTAACACTGTCATCGAGCAAGTGACAGTGTTAGCATCTACACCAAAACGTTGCAACTATTGCAATGAAGAAATTGTTCCATGTCATCATCCCAGCTTCCAAATGTCACTATCCCCACGGAGATATTGCTAGAATATTGCTAAAAAGCCACTTAAAACTAAACTCACACATTCTTGAGAGGCATTTAGAAGTTGGTGAATATATAAGACGAGTATATTGATGGCAACTTCTTGTTTATTGTATATCACAACGTTTCTGGGCTACTTCTTGCCCCTTCTTCAGGTGATCAATGACCTGAAGAAGGGGCAAGAAGTAGCCCAGAAACGTTGTGATATACAATAAACAAGAAGTTGCCATCCATATACTCGTTTTATAGAAACTCACACACTCTCTCCAAATGTCACTTAAAGAAGTTGTTCAGAATCTGTTTTCGGTTAATAAAAAGACTTGGAAGATAGCATTTTTAACTGTTAAAACATGAATTAGTAATTGTAAATTTGTTAACTCTGAATTATTTCCCCATGCTATCTGTTTGTCGTGTTTCACGCTGTTTTACTTTGGATTACAATAAGATTCAAACTTTAAGGTCAGCACATGACTGAAATCAAAATGAACCCTGGGAGCTCCATCAGCCTCTGATAATACCTATTTATTATTCATCGCAAGATGAATCAGTTCCCGACATTACTGCAGGGATTTTGCGATTTTTTAACATCGGTTGGCATTTCATTGAGGTGGCACACAACAAAGGAAGTTAGAGAGCAGCATGTCATTAAAACTCACAAAACAAATTGGCTGAGTGTCGCATGAACTAATTTCCGACAATTACTGATTTTCAATAAAAGGGTCGTGAGATCATCACGTTGTTTACACGGCGTATTGAACTCATAGCCTTTTCTTGGAAAATTATGTGAATGAAGAACATGATGGAATTTTTTCATTTCAATTAAAAACACCTGGCACAAAATTTCTACACTGTTAATTGGTAATTCAGACAGTGCATGACTTATTTAAAGGAATTATTCTTGAAATTGAACCTTGGCAGAGAAATTGATGGCTGATTACTATCTCACAGAACAGAGCAGTTCTACGGCTGCATTAGCAAATGTTTGAACCTTTGAAATCATTCCTCCAATTATGTGTTATTCTCTCCAACAAGGGTTCAGTATATCCCCAATTAATTGATGACATATCTGAACAAAAGAAAAAATCAATGAAAACATCTAAACACATTTATTTGCCAAATGTATAAATCATTGCCAGCAGTCGGACAATATTATGTTTGAAGTGTAATACTGAGAGTGTAACCAATATATGGTTCGATTGTTTTATATGTTCAGCTGCATGAACTTCCAAAAAATATCTTCAGTGTTAATTGAATGGTAACTTTGAGATTAATTTCCTTCAAATGTTTTTTTGCAAAATACACCAACAAACTGCAAACATAACATTTCATATTTGTGATATCATTTCACTTTTTCAAGTGTCTATCACCCAACAAAAAGTCATGTTTCACAAGTATAAGATATTACTTTCTACAAGCATCAAGCATAATATACACAATAACATTAACTAATAATGGATAAATATAATAATTTTATTGGAAATGAAGGAATACAGGGTTTTAGGTAGACCTTGTAAAATGGGAGTCATGGTGACTCACGATAAATGTTTTGGGGGTCATTTTCTAAATTTGGGTGTCAGGAAAAAAAAATTGTCCAAAAATTGTGTTTTTAATTTGAATTAAAGCAAGGGCTGTGAAAACATGTTTTGTGATATTGTCCTCAGTTGTAAGTTATCTGATGCAGTGCATTGTTATTTTATTTTTTTGTATTTAGTGGAGTTATTTCAATTCCAGTACATTTACTTGATTAAATACTGCTTCAGCTATGGCAGTATGAAAATATTTTGGGAGTATTTATAAATTTGTTGAGTCAAACATGCAATTAATCATGTAAAATCCTTGGCATCTGTCAACTGTTATTTGTTTGCAAACCAGTCACGGAATCATAGTCTTCATTAATCAAAACATTTAACTCACGAACAATCATGTCTAGCAATGCCAATATGGCCTTTCTGCTGATTACCGAGCTCAACAACCGCATGTTAATAGTTCGGTTGTCTGATTCAATTACGAGTCTATTGTTCTTGGAAATGGCCTCCTTGGCTGTCTATGGCAACCATTTTGACAGCTGATTTCAACAAATTAGTGCATGGACTCTCTTCTTTAAACTCAGTTGATAAATTGTTTAGTTCATTGAAGAATATTGTTATTGTTAATGATGTGATACGTCTTTGGCTGCCATTTGGAAGTTTTTAAAAGATTTGGACTCTTTGGAGCAGGGTTAGATTCAACAGGGACACTGTTTGGTTCTTTAAGGACTTCATCATAATGTTGTCAGTTACGTCATCTTTCTGCATGTGAAACGTTATACTGCAATAGTTTAAACAATATGAACTATGAGATGATATGGTCTTTATGTTTTCTGCCAAATTGTGGTCTTGTTCTTTTGTTTGAAACTTTGTCATACCTAACTCAGATTCACCCTGGTTTTGATTCTCGGTTTGTCAGCAACGTGTCAGTGCTTGTGTGTTTTACGAAAGTGAACATCTACATCTTGCAATGGTTTGGCTTTCCGATCCACATCCAGCTGAAATGCTGTTTAAATGGTATAAAACCCATCTTACTCACTCACTGATTTATACCATGTTTTATATTCATATTTCACTGATTCTAGAATACTCTGAATACCCTAATTGTGTTGACAAATGATTGCCAAGCAAATTAATTTGAGTCTGAAGTACCACTTTATCAATGACAGGACCAAATGTCAGTGCTATGGTCGGCTAATATGGTATTCTACTTCTGAAAATGTTAACACAGATTATTGATAAAAACATCCTTACTGGCTACAGTTGAATTATGTCCATTGTTTAGAACTGCTACAGCTAGCTATTAGCTCTTAAACATTGCGATGAATCCACTTGCCTGTTAGTTTATGGCGCTGCATAAATTTTATTATAGCCTTTCATATAGTGCCAGTGGTATTATCATGTGATCTTGGAGAATATGGAGCCATGGTATAACCATGTTATTGTTCCATAAAGAGCAATGCCTGGGGGTTTATACTAAGCTGTTGAAAATTATGTTTTTATATAAAATGCTTTGTCTCCTAATGCAACAGTAAGAATTGAATGATTTTGTTTTTCGACCTCTTTTTGTCAATGATACATTTGCACTGGCAGATCCAGAGCAGAGATGTGGGGAAGAAGAAACCATTAGAGATTTTTCAGACACCTTAACTGCTAACCCACACTGGGTGTTACGTGACAAAAACACAAACACATCAAGCCTTTCTCAAAACCTTCATCTGCCTCCCTGTCTTGGTTGTATACATATTCTGTGAATGAAAATTTAACTCAATGGGAACCAATATTTTATAGCTATAGGGAAGGAATAATGCCTTTGTTTTCCTAGGATTACAGAAAAAAAAATAGATGTAGATGTTGAGTTACTTTTTATGGGTTTTTTAATTGATCCATTTTCCCTGCTTACTTCCACAAGCATAATGTAAATACCAGCGCCTTGAGCATGCACTAGTTGTGTGGATATGTGCGCTATATATATATCCTATAATAATAATAATAAAAAAATCTGATCAGCAGTAGATAGATGAATTATTGCTTTATCTGAATTATCTTTGTTTATAAAGAGTGTTGTTCTAACTACTGATTGTATATTTTCTCTTCAGCCAGACAAATTCAATTGTTTTCAGATTTTCTTTAAAATTTTGCAGAGAATCTGATAATGTTATTAATGATTTGAGGTTTATTTAAAGGACTCTATTACATAATAATTAAATGAAACAATCAAGAAAGTAAAACATTATGTTCCTCATAATAAATAAGTTGACATCCATTAATTTCACCTTTTAATGATCAAGTGATTGATATGGTGAGTGAATTTAGTGGAATGGAGAGTTTTGTTTGATGCATTGAAATTATAAAATGATTTTAACTGTTATATTTTCAGACATGTATAAATATTTAACTGTGTTGTATGTTTGCAAGTATGTATAACACAAATATGACATGCATGCATGCATTTTATATCACACTGATACCCATCCAATTTATGTAGCCTTGTGAAGATTTCACACTAACATACAATAACACTAACAGTCAAGCAATAAGCTTTCTGAATTCAGTGGCAGTAAACATTTTATTTTGAGAAATGTCCCTTGCATGCATTCTTAGATTAACAATGTACTAAAATATTACTATCATCTTAAGGGGAATTTGGGATGTGTGGAGTTGTGCCTATAACTTTTAATCTTGTCATCTCTTTCATCTTTATCCTCATGCTTTAGAGTTCTGACAAAAGCTTTATGTTAGTCTTAAATTTCAAACTCTGTTTGACACTGAACAAAAAGTTCAATTACCACATTGGTAAAAAATGTGATGGCTGTACCCTCTGGGCCCCCACAAAACTCAATCCCCACTCATACTGTGGACGCCACTACAACATGCCCTGAGAATGTTGCATGAATTAGTATTAGATAAGAGTATGTATATCATACAAACCTATAACCTTCATATGTGTGTCACATCATATATCAACTCTCCCCACAGACCAATCAAGTCCTTACAGTCACATATTCCCTATCCTCTATGTAATAACAGTCTCTGTCTACCACAGACATACTAATGGCAAATGTGGAACCCGTAATCATGTTTTCTCATATTTCTTCTCTCCTGATCTGTATCTTCAGTATTACTTCTCATAATGTAATATTCTCATTGTGAATCTGGGACAATGGTTCAATGTGATTCCCTTCTTGGGTACAATGTATGAAGACCATTTCTGATGTTGAACACTGTGATATTGCTGGAATATTGCCAAGGCAGCAAAAAAACCATTCTTACTCTCTGTGAAATCAGTTTTATTCTCTTTTATGCCAAAGTAAGGATGGATTATTTGACCTTATTAATTTCTAAAAATTTGTCCTAGTTAAAAAAATGTACCAACTGAACAAAGGAACTGAAATTAGAGTTTGTTTTGATTTGGTTCTTTCTTGACATTGTTTTATAATTATATATAATTTAAATATACTAGATTCTGTTTATGCTGTTCTTTAGAAATGGTGGATAATAACTATAAAAATCTTTTTTTTTTCAAAGTAGTATTCTTTTGGTATCATGTAGCACTCCGTCTTCCATGATGGTGTTACCTATGAGTTTGTTTTTCATTCATTTGTTGTAGTATTAATCTGAACCACCTGCATTGAATTTTTGGTGAAATATTTTGAAACCAATTAATACAAATTAAAAAGACGCACAGGTGTACCATAGCTTCCTTAATAAAATGAAGTCTTGCTAGGTAAAGCAATACCATCAAGGAATTGGAATTCCAACATTGAGCCTTTTCCATTATCATCTAGGAGGGTCAGTAACAGAGATATACAAACAATACTTTATGTCTCATACATGTACTCACTGATTCTTACATAACATCATCTGAATTAACAAAGACTTGTCAGCGTGGGAACTAATACAAAGATGAGCTATTTCGACAAATTTACAAATCGAACATAAAGCATTTTTGAAAATAGTTAAGTCAACTGCAAGTGAATTTGTACTGCATTGCCTATAATCTCCCCAGGTTGACTGGTCATGTGATAAAGCACCTGCACCTCTGTTGTACTACAATGTTGTATCCTTGTTCTGTGCACCCCCACTATAACCCCTGTTGTAGTCATACCCCCATCACCATGTGCGTCTTTCAGTCAACTCTGACCTTGGACTACAATGGCAGCAATCTACGTCAATGTATCTTCCAGGTATGACGTCACCGCGGTCGGCAACTTCATCGCCCAAGTCACCACGTAAAGTTAGATCAGCTGCCACTGTGAGTACACTTTCTAAATGGACAGATGTAGATCTTCAGGAAGACACTATTAGCATAACATATTCTTCAGTGAGACATGTTATAACAAAGATGTTATAAGGTAGATGTTACACAGCAGTATTTGTCAAGTAGGCATGCAATAACAGATGTTTTCAATTAGACATGTTATAACAAACATGTTTAGGTAGATGTTGCCCAGCAGTATATGTCATGTAGGCATGCAATAATGGATGTTTTCAATTAGATATGTTATAACAAACATGTTTAGGTAGATGTTACACAGCAGTATATGTCATGTAGGCATGCAATAACGGATGTTTTCAATGAGACATGTTATAACAAACATGTTTAGGTAGATGTTACACAGCAGTATATGTCATGTAGGCATGCAATAATGGATGGTTTCAATAAGACATGTTATAACAAAGATGTTTAGGTAGATGTTGCCCAGCAGTATTTGTCAAGTAGGCATGCAATAACGGATGGTTTCAATGAGACATGTTATAACAAAGATGTTTAGGTAGATGTTGCCCAGCAGTATTTGTCAAGTAGGCATGCAATAATGGATGGTTTCAATAAGACATGTTATAACAAAGATGTTTAGGTAGATGTTGCCCAGCAGTATTTGTCAAGTAGGCATGCAATAACGGATGGTTTCAATAAGACATGTTATAACAAAGATGTTTAGGTAGATGTTGCCCAGCAGTATTTGTCAAGTAGGCATGCAATAATGGATGGTTTCAATAAGACATGTTATAACAAAGATGTTTAGGTAGATGTTGCCCAGCAGTATTTGTCAAGTAGGCATGCAATAATGGATGTTTCAGTGGGACATGTTATAACCTAGGTGTTGAGGTTGATGTTATATGGCACTATTTGTCATATGTAGGCATGTAATAATGGATGTTTTCAATAAGACATGTTATAACAAAGATGTTTAGGAAGACATTGCATAGCAGTATTCGTCATTTAGGCATGATCAAATGATTATGTAAGCATGTTTTTTCTTTCTATTAACCAACCTAATTTGGTTAAAAACATGTTACCTGAATACAAATATTGTTTTGTTTTACATAATCACTGCCAGCCGAAAAAAATGACGATGTATTTCAGGCATTTCCTGTCTAAAATATATAATAATCATGACTAAAATTAATCTTAAATGTCCCTGTATCATACCAAGAATCATAGCAACCTGTCACAGGAAGAAGGTTAGTGTGTTATGGGTAATAGTCTCAGCATCAGTGGGTAATAATGACACATGTTCCACATTGTTCAACACTGTTGCAGCCAAAGCACCGGATGACCAATGGGAGCAGCATGAGCAATGGCACCAATGGTCATCACAGAGGTAAGCACATGATAGGGAGGAATGACTGTGAGCACCCATTACATAAGGCAGCTACATGATTGGACCAACTCAACATTTTGTAAGATAAACAAGTACCAAGCATATATTATATCCTTCTGTTGGTTATGGTGTCACTAAATTGTGGACCACCAGTGGAGTCTAGTAGATAGAGTGTATGCTGGGAGAGGGTAAAGGTTGGTGGTTCCATCCCTGGCTACTGGACTCAAGGAACTGAATCACACATCACAGATGCCCAGCAATTTCTCATGAAACTCCTAAGTTATTCCACATACATATCCTTTTTTATAACATGCTGCAGATTTTATTAGAGAATAATTTGAAGGAAATAACAACAAGCAGAAATGGGAATCAGTATTAGTATGCTGGTATTGACAAATTTCGTTATAGTTAAAGGTATCCTGCAGGCTAATTGAATTTCGAACATATTGGGAGGTGTTGCTATATCTTATAACTGTTCAGACTTGAAGATGTAAATGGGAGCTGTACATTCCCTGACTTTTGGATTGTTTATCCAAAATGAAATAACAACATTTTAGGTGGGAGTCGCATCATACCATTTAAATTAGATGGTTGGATGAATATTTGATTGATTTGATTCAAAACTGGTTACATCCTTATCTTTCTTGACCCATAAAAAGACTGGCTAGGGAAATTTGGAAATTATATTTTTAAATTATAATAGTCTTTTATTAGAAAGGATGGGAGGGGGTGGGTTTGTTTTCAGTGAGATTAGGGGGTTTTCATGAGAAAATGATGTATGAAAAGATTGGGGGTTCTAAAACTATAAATTAGAGCTTGATAAAATGACACAATGATGGACAATATTTAGGAATTTGTCATTGGTTAAAGGGAGAGGATATAATGAAAAAAATGTTAAATGTTTAGAGGGGCCATAATAAAGATGGAACTGAACACACAGACTTTTGTTCTGTGAATAATAGTTTCAACTGTGATTCTCAAGTCTTCTGTTTCAGTAAAGGCAGTAATTTTTATTTGAAACCTTAAATTAGCCATCACAATTGACTGTTATCCCAATTTAACTGTAGAATGATGTATATGAAAGTCATGCTACCTTTACTACTCAATCACTGTCTTAGTTAAACATGACATTCATTACAACATCCATACATCTCAGAACCCACCAATATCTTTATCCTTTAAATATCTTTCCATTGTAATGAGATGGGGCAGTCGGTAGGCTAATGGTCAAAGTGTTGTCTTGTCACGCATAAGGCCCGGATTCAATTCCCCACAAGGGGACAGTGTGTGAAGCGCATTTTGGTGTGTCCCCACTGTGATTTTGCTTGAATAATGCTAGAAGCGGCATAAAATCCAACTCACTCACGCCTTTGTAATGGAGTTAAGACTGACAATTCCATCATATTAGTGTTATTAATCTCTCCTGACATGCAAAAATGTTGAGAACAGTACACCCATCAATACTTATTGATTACTTATTGATCTCATTTGAAGTTGTAATCCCTTTGTCCAGGGCGATGAGATCTGTATCCAAGCTGTTCAGAACACTTCCAAGATATTAATAGACTCCCAGTGAAGTATAGATCCTGTTTTATGTTGAAGGAAGAGGCTTTGTGTCATTACGTATTGATTGTGAAGGAATTATATCCGCCTTGTTCTGATTAAATCCCTTCTCAAATTTACTGTGAGTGCCGTTGTGGGGATAGTGGTTTGCTGTATAGCTCTGCTCTGTTTGTCTAGAGGAGGTAAATAGTGGTGAAAGGAACTGATGACACTGTAAGATACTCACAAATTATCTCATGTCAACAGTCTACATTTTGAGTGATGACTATATTGGAGACTAGTTGGCTACAATGGCTTTTAAGTATGATTAAAGACCACCACTCATGATCTGATCTTCCTCCATGGTCTAGTGAGAAGAGCTTCTTTCTGGAGAGTGGATGGTCAGTGGTTAATTCCGACCAAAAGACGTTGAAAGATGGTACTAGCTCTTACTAGTGGGGGCGGTGGGGTAGCCTAGTGGTGAAAGCATTCACTTGTCACGCCGAAGACCCGGGTTTTGATTCCTCACATGGGTACAATGTGTGAAGCTCATTTCTGGTGTCCTCGCCATGATATTGCTGGAATATTGCTAAAAGCAGCATAAAACTAAACTCACTCACTCAGTCACTCTTACTAGTTGGGCAATAATATGGCAATACAGTATTGTATCACAGTACGAGGCTCACAATACAGTACATTGATGTACATCTCCTCTATACATATAATACATCACATTAAAAGTTATATTGATGTAAATGAGCATGTAACTGTTCAAAAACCACGGGCGGTGGGGTAGCCTAATGGTTAAAGCGTTGGCTCGTCACGCCGAAGACCTGGGTTCAAATCCCCACATGGGTACAATGTGTGAAGCCCATTTCTGGTGTCCCCCGCCGTGATGTTGCTGAAAATTGCTAAAATCGGCGTAAAACCAAACTCAGTCAGTCAAAAACCAGTTTATGCAGATTCTAAAGTATTCCTGGTTGGTAAACAGTGGAGTAATATATGTTTCTAACCTGCAGTATCCCATATGTGTAGTCTGTGATTTAAAAACAATTCAGGGTTGTGAATCTGGGAAAGATTATGAACTTATGTAATAATAGTACTGTATTGGGATACGAATCATATCGCACTTGTACTATTGGGATATTTATCATATTGCATCCTGAAGGTATTGTTACACCTCTTGTTGTTACCCAGAGGAGAGGGACACATGATATCAATCATTAGCTTGTCTGTCCCAGATTCAATCATCGGGCAGTTGTCATAAGCTGAAATATTGCAGTGTGGCTTTAAACAACAAACAAAGAGAAACAAATTGTATATGTCATACTATAATAGCAAACCGATATTAATAGGGATGGTAATAGTGACATGTGCATGTATTTATTCATTCCAGATTCACCTGATGTTCCCAACTCTCTACTGGAGAGATACGATATAGGGAAGGTTATTGGAGAGGGGAATTTCGCTGTCGTCAAGGAGTGTTTAGACAGGTATACAAACATTTAACTTTTCCTACAAATTTCTCTGGCACACAGATCTATTGAAAAACACTTCAGGTCAATACTTACTTATGTACTTAGGTACTGCTGGTTTTAGTTTTTTTTGGCAGTCAAATTTGTTTAGGATTTTATTGACTGTTGTGTTTTTAGTAATAGATGAAATTTGTGTTACTCATAAGGGCACAGGTGGTTGTCAAAGTCACCACAGTTGGCTGTGCTTCTCAAAGGCAGCAAGAAACCTATGGTTGTGGGTTTGAATCCTGACTTGCCCTAAGTAGGTTTGTCACCAAAGTTGTAAATGTCCATGACGTGCATACACTTTCGGTTTTCTTCCCTTAAAAATCATGGGCAGTGATAGAACATGAATCCTACTGACAGCAGTGTTAAACTTACCTCACTCACTCGTGCTTCTATAACAGATAGAGAGATACTAGAAAGCTCATACAGAGGTGAGTATTAGTTGTATAATTAAGCTGTTTATCACTCCATTAATCGTCAGTTTTGCAGCTTTTGATATGTTCATATCATAACTACATATCAATGTTTAGACAAATAATAACTCTATATTACTCTGCAGATTCAACAACAGAAGGTTTGCCCTGAAGATTATAGACAAGGCCCGTTGTAAGGGAAAGGTGGGGCATTGTGTTGTGTGTTATGTTGTACAATGTAATACAAACACAATTGATATTAGGTTCATTCATATATACTCATAGAAACAAATAAGGGAACACTTGAAAGTACAAGTGTTCCTTTAAATATTTCCAGAATTTCACTCACAGTGCAATACATACCTTGTGAAGAAACCTGGAAAAGGATAAAGGAACACTTGTACTTTCACGTGTTCCCTTATTCGTTTCCATGAGCAGATAAAGCATTTTAGAGATAAAAGCAGATAGAGCATTATAACCTCTCTAAGTCTTTATTTTCACAATATCTTTCTGTTATGGTGGGAAGTAAAATTATTAAGAATATGTCTCATCCAAGTTGAACCAATCACAACAAAGTAATCACTAGATACAACAGCTAATAACCAGTTGTGGTGAGATAACGGTCAGTAAACTTATTTATAATTCATAAATGGCCTAAACAAGAGATATCACTTGGGTGATATCATAAGCAATCTTTCCTTCTCACTACAATGAAATTGCTTCACAATACTTTGCAGACCATTGTGACATCATCGATTACCATATCACAATCAAATGACATCACTAATCTTTCTGCCACCTAGGCTGGTCATCTGAACTTTTGTGACTTAGGGCCTAGATTTTCGAAGCTCTCTTAGTGCTAAGATAGTCGAAAGTACCATACATTAACATTAACTTACAACTATCTTAGCGCTAAGAGAGCTTCAAAAATCTAGGCCAAAGTTATTAATGTCAACAAAATGAAGAATGGTGTTGGATGATAAGTAGACACTTAACCCTGTCTGTACTGATCTATATGCATCATAACTTGCTGATTATGGTCAAAAGGTCCTCAGGAAGTGGACCAGAGTTTTAAACTTTAATTGACTCATGTTGACATAGCTGATATCAAAAGACACTTGGCTGAGAGTCCCTTGGATACCCCCAAAATAATATTTTCATGAGGAAAGGTTGCAAAAATCTGACATAGCATAAAGTTGTCAGAGCAACAGAAAAATCAGTGTTCAAGAGTGTGTGTTGTTTTTTATCCAAAATAGCAATTCTGTGTGCACTCAAATGTTGACATCATAATGAGTGACAGACATTTATGATTGAGGATGGATGTGTTTAGCATTAAATGAAACATCCTTTGCAGTCAGTGTTTCCGTTCATTATATACTTACCATTTCACTGGCCCAACAACACTGAAAAAATGCAGGTACAGTTAACATTTTGTACTGGTAAGATTAAATTTTACACTTACATGTTATCAGTAAATTATGGGCAATTTCCACCAAACAGAAACACTGACTGTTGTTCATACTTTTTATAAACTAAGGTATTAATATAGTACCTTGGTGTTCAAGATGTGCAATGAAATTTTGATACCTTAATTTGATCTTGTACCAATAAGATTCATGAGTGTGTTTTTTTCACAGAGAAATAAGGGTTTAATTTACACAACGGTTTAAGCAGTGTTGTTTATTAAGGGTCATCTTTGAGGTTTGCACCTGTGTTACCTGACTCAAGGAACCACACACACGCACGCACACACCCCACGCACGCAACACACACACACACACACACACACACACACACACACTTAAACAAATGGTTATGTCAAGGACCTTCATGACTTTGATGCACGATTTCAAAAACTGCATAAGCAGTTTGAAGGAATTAGGAATACCGGTTACACGCCTTGATTTAATTAATGTGATTAATTGCATAATGTAATTTATCTTCCTTTCTAGGAACAAATGATAGAGAATGAAGTGTCAATACTTCGTAAAGTGAAGCACCCGAACATCATCATCTTGGTGGAGGAGTTCGACACTTCAGCTGAGCTGTACCTGGTCATGGAACTAGTCTCTGTAAGTCTCTACAGAGCATGAATAGGTGTTATACAATGCATGAGTTCATATACAGTAATTTCGCATGATCAGGTGTTGCTGTGTAATATTGGAGTCTTTTTGTTTTGTTTTTGTTTGGGGGCGGTGGGGTAGCCTAGTGGTTAAAGCGTTCGCTCGTCACGCCGAAGATCCGGGATTGATTCCCCACATGGGTACAATGTGTGAAGCCCATTTCTGGTGTCCCCCGCGGTGATATTGCTGGAATATTGCTAAAAAGCGGCGTGAAACCATACTCACTCACTCACTCACTGTTTTTGTTTGTTGTTTAACACCCTACTCTGCAATATTCAAACTATGTTGTGGCAGTCTGTAATTAAGTTAATCTGGATCAGACAAGCCAGTGATATACAGTATCAGCATCGGCATAACAGAATCAGATTTGTATATATTCAATAAAAATTATATTTTACATGATATAACAGTTGATCTGATCTTCAGCAACCCATGCTTGTCATATGAGGGTTGAGTGGTCAGGCTCACTGACTGGTCATCGTGTCCCAATTGCAGAGATCAACACTTATAATGTCAATCAATGGATTGTCTGGTTCAGATTTAATTACAGACTGCTGTCACATACCTTGAGTATTGCCGAGTGTTGGATTAAACAACAACAAAACATGATATATAATAGGAGACACGAAGAGTTGTCTCCCTTGATGCTTTTAAGGCATTTGAAATACTTATATATACATCTCCTCATAGAAAGTTCATGAAGTAATCATAAAGAGAGTTAGAATCAGTTGTATATGTGTATACATTTATATACTTTATGTCTTGTTTACAGGGAGGAGACTTATTTGATGCAATATCCTCGGCCACCAAGTACACAGAGCGTGATGCGAGTGGGATGGTCTACAATCTGGCCAGTGCTCTCAAATACCTGCACTCCCTAGGAATTGTACACAGGGACATCAAGCCAGAAAACCTCCTGGTGAGATCTTAATGGGAGCTGGTTAATAATTACATTACCCTGTAAATATTCCTTATAAATATTTGCTAAAGGAAGAATCGATTGTACTGTCCCGACTATTTAATCGGCATGTGTCTACAAATCACTGTAACACTAACTGAAATAAGGTGCTCAAAGTGGCACCTGTTTCTCTTAGATTGTCGTAAGTCAAAGGATGGGATTTTATGGTCGTCTTAATGCTATGATAGCTATGTGGAATGGGACCCAGGTGCCATTTTGGCCACCCTAATTACTGTTAGCGTGTTATGGTTACAAATATAGGGCTTTAATTATGCCTCAAATTCCACATGGTTCAGAATAGAATAGAAGATAAGATTTAAGATCACAATTTTGAAAACATTCCATCCATTCAAGCTGTTATTCAAGAACTATGACACTTATGATGTAAAGTAAATAGTAAGTCTACTATATGGTCACAGTAATTGTGCTGCTCATCCAGGTGTGTGACCACCCTGACGGAAGCAAGTCCCTGAAGCTGGGGGACTTTGGCCTGGCTACCACCGTGACTGACGTCCTGTATGCTGTGTGTGGGACGCCCACCTACGTCGCACCTGAGATTATTGCAGAGTCTGGGTAGGCATCAGCAGATTTGGCAGTACCTTTACTCATAGCAAGGTGACATGGTGGACCAGTTGTCTAAAGCACCGTAATACACAGGGCAGAGTTGTTTCCCTTGGACATGCTTGAACCTCCATGTGTTTGAATCCCATTGTAATTCAGCCTAATGCCAGACCAATTTTATTTCTTGTTTTACGGATTTTAGTCCTCAGAAATCCAAAAGGCAGGATGGAAAAAAATAAAAAATAAAAATCACTAGTCAAAATAATTTTCCTTTTAAGTACTAAAAGTATTTATTTTTCCTTATCCTGACTCATGCTCTTTTGCTTGTCTTCTTCTTCTTGCGAACATAGTGGAACACTTGTATCTCCTATTGAAGCTCCCTTCAATAAAGAATAGACGTAAAATCACTCCTACCAAGAGTTATCTCTCCAGCCGTTTAGCGGGAAACTGTGGCGCCACCGTGCCCTCATGCCTCACTCTCTCCTTCTTCGCCCTGTGGGCAGGTTGTGAGAGCGCCTGTGTCTCCTATATGGCACTATATCCTTTAATTAATTAGTTATTTTCCTCTATTCTACTTTTATAGAGGTTTAGTTAGTATCCTACTACAATATGGTTGGATATTTAATCGTATTTAGCACTGTTTATTCACGGTATTGTCCGTATTTGTTCAGTTGTTTACATTTCATGATAACCTATTTTCGTTGTTGGTTTAGGTTCGCTGCTGCAGACCCAAGTTGATTGTGCCTAGCTGCACAACTATATGTACTTCCAGTTATAGCTGTAATCTTTATCAGCTTTTAATTGAAATTCAAATTAATATATAATTTTTCTCCGTACTTAGACGTACTATCAACTATCCAGGTGACTTCCAAGTCATGGGTAAACTGGCTGAGTCCCTCATGAGCTGTCTATTGCGGTTTGACGACTTACTACCATCAAGTGAGCTGCCGGAGGTGTACTCGGAGGATGGGCGTGGGATGTTGTCCGCCTTACTTCGAAGACATTGGCTTCTACATCGGACAACCCCTCAACGCAGACGTAGAAGACGCCATCCTCTACGCAGAATGAAGCCTCATCCTGATGCCAGCGAGAGGGCTTCATGTTAAGCCACTGCTGATCTTCCCAGAGATACAGCATGCAGTCCGAGGGCGACAGATGAGCGATCTCCGGACCATATCGCTATCAACGCAGAGAGGGCAGCTCTACAATCATCGCAGACAATGTATAGACGCCATCCTCTACAAGAGAAGGCTACACACCCCTTAGATGACGATGCTCCACCGGATCAGCTTTTTATAAAATGCTCATCTAACGGTACACACAGTCACCTCAACAGTGACGGTCTACATCCACAGAAGGATCGACAAAGTTGGCGAACCTTCTGGACTTCTGCTGTCAGTTGATCAGCATAACAGTCATCCTGACTGTCCACAGCAGAGTAGGCCACATTCCAAGAACCAAGAATGTGTTAGCACATACACTAACCTGTCCAACGCAACCATTCTCAACAGACTGGATGCTACATTCAGAGATCTTCAAACAGATCATATAAGAGATGGTTGAACCTTTAAGAAACCTCTTCTCCACAAGGGTCAACTGATAAAATTCATCTCACCAATATCAGATCCACGGACAGGGACAACGGACATGCGAAGCATCTCCTGCCTAGGACTAAACACTTACGTGTTTATCCACCAGCTCTATTACCTAGGGTATTGCAGACATCAGTCAGGCGAGAGACCCACAACTATTTGGGGCACGCCTTTTGACCAGCGAGAATATGATTTCCTATTCTCATACAAGATCTAGGACTGCTTCTACTGCAACTACCAGAGCGTACGAATCTACTAGTACATCCTCACACAAAGCAGGCGCACGGCAACCCGGAGGTGTTCCGGCTACACGTGTGGACTGTATCAGACATGCTTGAACAAGAGAGGATATTTCGCCAGAGCAGCGAAAACGGTCACACTAGCTTTACGCAAGTCTTCACGCAACTTGTCTGACGACAAGTAGTGACGCTTTAAAACAAAAGATACGCTTCAAGGATCGGCTTCACAGCCATGAAAGTGACACATCCTCAAGTGGCGGACTACCTTTGTCACCTAGACAAAGGAAGCGGTAAAAAGGGTCAACACTCTCAACATACCTAGCGGCATTGAGAGCAGTTATCGTCATGAGGATGAGTGCAACTAACTAAAGTACCAGAGTTACTGGCCTTACTATGCCCTTTAATTGGAGGACCAACATCAGAGATTTAAAGCTCCGGTATGGGACCTCAGCGTTGTTCTACGACATCTCACTAGTGACATCTACGAACCATTATAGAGAACATCATTAGAGTTCTTGACACAGAAGGCGCGCTGTTCCTGATAACCTTAGTAACAGCAGCAAGGATGTCGGAAATACACGCTCTGGATTGAGAGAACACGATTTGATGCAAATCAAACATCATGCATATGGGACTGAGATGGGACTTCATAGCAAAGAATCAACTGCCAGGTCATCCAGACAGACAGTTCCATGTCCCAACACTATCATCAGCCCTTGGACCACAGGATACGCACACGGCTTATCCTTGTGCCCAGTACGAGCATGGAAAGTCTACTTACAATGATCCAGGTCCATGAGACGGAAATTCAAGTGTCTTTCGTCTCGATATCAACAGCGGCACAGACAAAGGTCTTCTGCACTAAAATATCAAGCTGGATCAGAACTGTCATACTACGGGCCTACAAAGCAGCAGGACTGGATCCTCCAACCCACATGAAGTGAGAGCTCTAGCACAACGCTCTCTATACTTGAAAATCGCTCTATCAGGACGATAATGGAGGGCTGCTTCTGGAAATGGGACATGGTGGTTTCCAACCATCACTTGAAGAACATCGTTACTGAGGACGGCTTTTACATTCACCATTTCGGCCCACTTATTGTAACACAACAATTGACAGTCCCACTAAGGCGCTGAGACGGAGTCTCGCCCTTTTGTTGCATAACTTACTAAGTTTACACTCAGCGGAGTTCTGCTTAAGTCATATGCACGTCTAACAACTAGCATAAGTAATATGACCCAGTACTTGTAAGGATACTGGTACAGGAATGGGTCGCTTCTCCACTTGGTGCTTGCATCAAGAGTTAGAGTTGCAAAATCCAAATACAATGTTAACACATGAAAGGACCAAAAGTTAACTTTTGTGGTCCCCCCATTTTAAGGCAGCTGGAAGGTTAGGGTCGCAACAGCAGCAGAGTTTACTAGTAAATACAGTGCCATTACGAAGTTCCCATAGGGGGGTCTATAATGACGTAAAATTCACTAAAGAAATCCTAAAGTGCTTTTCCCACCACCTTTTCCGTAGGATTCTACAAGCAAAAGAGCATGAGTCAGGATAAGGAAAAATATGTAATTTTCTGAATAAAATTGATATTTTATACTTATCCTGACTCATGAGATAAGCCCACCCATCCTCCCCTGTAGACACTTTGGATTTCCCTGCAAATTCAAGTGTCAGGCTCATAATCAGGAGAGAGTGAGGCATGAGGGCACGGTGGCGCCACAGTTTCCCGCCTAAACGGCTGGAGAGATAACTCTTGGTAGGAGTGATTTTACGTCTATTCTTTATTGAAGGGAGCTTCAATAGGAGATACAAGTGTTCCACTATGTTCGCAAGAAGAAGAAGACAAGCAAAAGAGCATGAGTCAGGATAAGTATAAAATATCAATTTTATTCAGAAAATTGCATTATTTTTGGCAATTTATGAAGTTTATATGGGGCAAAAAAAAATTAAAAAATTGGGGCAAGTTTACATTTTTGGTCAATAGAAACATGAGGATTTTATGTTTTCAGCGGGGATATTTTTTTTTTCTTCTCTTATTCTTGAAAAAAATATGACCGGCAGATCCGTAAAACAAGATATAAAATTGGTCTGGCCTAATTATCTGATTATGCTCATTGGTTTGTGAGGGTTCATGGATTTCAGGGACTATCAGTCAGCTGAATGTAGGTCTAATCCTTGTACTAATCATACTCATGATGTAAAAATATGACAATACTTAGTTTGACATGTGTGTTTTTTTCTTGTTGCATGATAGTCTGAGATGTGTCATATTTACCTCTCCACAGGTATGGACTTAAGATAGATGTGTGGTCAGCTGGAGTCATCACCTACATTCTGCTATGTGGATTCCCTCCCTTTGTCAGGTATAACACTATTTATACACATACTTATGGAAAATATACTGATTGTACTAGATATCTAGATATTAGAAAGTATTGATGGCAGAAAAAGAAGAAATATTTGCAGATCTTTAAAGTGTTTATCTTTGTGATCAGAAGAAGTTTTTGTTTGAAGAATGCATTTGTATTCAAAGCTGATGCATGACAAACTTTAGGGCTTAAATAATGGCCCACAGTCTGTATGTCAAATGCAGTCACTTCGTACATCTATTACAGCCCAAGCAACAACCAGGATGACCTGTTTGATCAAATCATGATGGGAAAGTTTGAATTTACTTCACCATTTTGGGATGAACTGTCCGCCTCATCCAAGGTCAGCCTCTTGTGTTTTAACATATTTAGTTACTTGGACAGAGATGTGACGCCAATGTCCATAAGAACCAACCAATCAAAATTGGGGGAAGGGAACATTTTTCAGTCACCATTTATAGACATACATAATTTTACTATGTAAGAAGTAGCTAAACAAATTTTTCCTGAGTATCAAATATGTCTAAAAGATATTTCCTGAACTTGTTGATATAATTTAAAGAAAGACTGTTTTCTTTACAAATATATCATTATGTGATGTATAAAGTTTATAGCCTGACAGTTGTGATATTAGAAGCATGTATAGGTAATAATAATCGTATATGCTCCCCAGGAACTGATATCCCATATGTTGACCGTTGACCCAGAACAGAGATATACTGCAGAAGAAGTCCTTGCACATCCCTGGGTCGCTGTAAGTTTCAGCTGCCACTATACATCAATGCACCAGAATATTTCTGTATATCTGACATCCATTTATGTATTAAAATTTAAATGAAATTTGTCCAACAAATGCAAAAAAAATTGATGAAATTGTTGGACTTAAATGTTTTTAAAATTTGTTTTGACAGTTAACTGTTCATTTAACTACATTTGTTGCTAGGACGACACTGCCAAGGATGAGGATCTCCATGACAACATAGCCAAAGGTCTTAGTGCCCACTTTGTGAGGAAGTCCAAGCAGACTGTAGCAGGTGTCAGAGTCATCACTGTAAGTTGCAACATCTCAAAGTTGTTTTTCCCTTTGATAAAAATGCTAAATTTGGCCCAAATGTAATACAAGAGTAAGGAGATTCATCGTGCCATTCCATTCTCAGAAGTATTCAGGAAAAGGAATAAGATGATGGAAGAAGTGAAACAAGATTTGACAATTTTTTTCACATGGTGATCACTGTCATAATGAACAACCAGATTTGACATTATCATAAAAAAAGTGGTTTGATTGTGAAGGTCAGTCTGCTATTGCCTTTGTTAAATGTTGTACAATATAACTACATTCACATATATTCCAGAGTAGGATACCAGATAACTTCCATGTAATCGATTCTTACTGTAACCTTTCTTTATGAAAAACAAGATTTATCTCCCTTGTCAGCTTGCATATTTTGTACATTTATATTTTTGTTATTGTGTTAATGCTTTGCATAGGACATAATTTACACAAGTGTATGCAATATATGGCTAGATAGGATAGGGAAACTGTTTTTCCCTGTGAATGGAGCTTTTTAAATTTTTTAAACAGTTAGAAATAAGATGTAACTATTTAGTATCCTTTGTCAGTAACTGGTCTGATTTTGTATAAATATCATCATACTTTAAACAATTATAAAATACAGTAATGGAGTATGACATGAATTATTTAGTACCATGTAAAGTCTCTGGGCAGACACTCTACCCACTACAATACAATTCCATGTATTGGTTCCAAGGGGAGAGACTTAAAATGTTCAAGCTATTTGCATATGTCATTAGTGTTCTTGGTTAGAATCATAGTTTCAGGTTCTATTTTTCATTATGAATAACCACAAATTTTACCAATGTTAGTACTTCATGAAATGTGTATTTTTCTTCAGACAACAGCACTGGACAAGGGATCTAGGTTTTTTCAGGGGAGAGGAGGTGCCCCCCTCACTCTCCACCCCCGCGGATCTGAGACTGCTGATGATGACGAAGTATTCTGATTGGGTGTTTTGGACAAGTAAACAAGCAGTCCAGTGAGATGGATGACAGGATACAAGGCAGACAACTGCCTTCCTAGTACACAGGATGAACAACACAGAATGGACATATTTGAGAATTTAAAAGAAGCATTCTCATTGGTTGTCCAAACTGCATCCTCCCATAAGAGCAATGTGTTGATTGGTCAGTGTTTTGTGCAATTCACCCATCCCAAACCAATCAGCTTCTGGATATTCTTTTAAAACATTACTGTGGCTTAAACAATCATTTCTGTTTTACATTGTGAAATACTGTCTTCAATCTATCTGCATGTTTTAGCACAGACTCCCAGCTTTAAAACCATAAACATTTGAGGATTATTTTCCACTGTCCTCAATGCAATATGTGTCCAAATAGCTTCATGGCTCAGTGTGGGTACTTTCACATCATTATCACTGGTTTAGTCATTGCCATAATCATTCTATATTACTCTATATATCTACATGATATATTTCATGGCTTTCTTACCTGCATGAATGGGTTTTTCTCTCAGTAGTCCTATCCAGGTAATGTGACAGATTGCTAAATGCATCTGAAAGCTAATCATCATGTAGAAACACCATATTAATGCTACACCATGTGACAAAGTAATGTGACATATGTCAAAACTGCCACCTTTACAATTTGTAGTCGGACAGATAAACGTTAAATTCTTAAAATCAAAATATTATAATTAAATAATAAATCAAGCATGATATCTTGATATGTTTTTGTCAAGACCATTGTAATGGGGTTTTTGCTTTCCTTATCCAAAGCCATTTGTGTTCGATATAACAGTAAATTCATGCACATGGGTCAGATGTCATAAATATATGCATACACATATACAGATGGAAAGAAATAAGGGATGGCATGGCAATAATGTTTGACGTATTCTTATTTTCAATGTAAGACTATCCTCCTAAAGCCTAATCTTAATGAAAGTAAATTGTTACGAACATTATTGCAGTGTTGTTGTCGCTTTTTTTTCTCCATCTGTATATTATAGGATCGTGTCTTAACTTGACAAATTAGACCTCAGGATCTCCACTGCTCATGACAGGTACTACTTTCCTGAAGAGCAACACAGGCAACATTTTCAGGTCACAGAACACACCACTCAGGATTTCCTTTCCTCACAGGTACTGCTCTCCTGAAGAGTAGCTGGATGTTTTATTGTGTACCTATTTATGTCATAGATCAGACCACTCAGGATTTCCTATTCCTTCTGTGGCAAGTACTGCTATCCTGTAGAGTAACAGTGAGTTTGTACACCTATTCATGTCATAATCTGACCTTTTATGAGAGGTACTACATTCTTGAAGTGTAACTGTATTTTGGATCATACCTCTCATAACAGGTACTACTTTCCTGAGGCACAGCTGATGTTTGTGTATACTATTCACACAGGGAATTAAACCTCCCTAAACAGATACTACTTTCCTGAGGTGCAACTATATGATTGTGCATTATATTCACATTGGTGATCAGACGTCTCATGACATGTACTATTATCCTCAAGTAGAACTGTATGTTTCTGCACTACTACTTTCCTGAGGTACAATTGTGTATTTGTACAATATATTCACATTCGGAATCAGACCTATCAGGACTGATACTACTTTCCTCAAAAACAACTGTATGTTTGTGCTCTACATTCATGTCATAAAACAAAGCTTTACATCTATTATATTTCAATCAGATCTCCAAATATTTTCAGTATTATGTTGCTCATCGCCTCCATAAATATGTCTGTATTATTTTTTACAAAGTAGCAAAACCAAAATACGGTGTCATTTTATAGATATCACTTCCAGACCTACTGCTGTTTTAAGTCACATTTTCTGTAGGAGTGAGTGAGTGAGTGAGTTTAGCTTTAAGCTGCTTTTAGCAATATTCCAGCATTATCACAGCTGGGGACACCAGAAATGGGCTTCACACATTGTACCCATGTGGGGAATCGAACCCAGGTCTTCAGCGTGACGAGCAAATGCTTTAACGACTAGGCTACCCCACCCCCTTTTCTTTCTGTAGGAAGTGAATGAGGCAAGACTTGCGACGTTTATAATTGTGAGACAAGAGTCTGGCATACAGCATTTTAGTTAGTTTATATACATATACTCATTTAATTCTGTAATAAAGATGTAGAAACAAAATTAACCTGACAAAGCTGTAACAGTATTAGGTGAGGTGAAATGCGGTTTAAGTTTCATTCCAAATTATTGTAATAACATTGCGACAAGCAAGAACATGTGTGAGTGACTGCGTGTACTGTCCTTGTTTTATTCCCACAACACCAAACGCCAGTACCAATTTAAACATCTTCTTGCGTGACATGGCCTGAGATCAGAGATCTTCTGACTTGACCTCTATCCTTTGAAGTGCTAACCAAGGATTTTCTTTGAAAGAATGATCACCTAGGGTTGCATGTCATGTGCATAACACACAGTTTATCCTCATGAGGGGTAGTTGCACATCATTTTAATAATTATTGGGGGAAAAGGAAGCAAACATTTATGAAAATATCGTCACAGTTGATATGAAGTTAATATCCTTATAAAAAAGGAAATCAGGTTTTCAGAAAAATTCAACTTATATTTTTATTATCAAGGAAAGAATCTGAGTTATTAGTGTTTTCTACAATTTGGGTTAATCTTGTTAATACGATAAGAACAATTGTTCCATCAAAATTTGAAACCTGTTTCAATTAATTCTGATAAATTTGCTGTTGTTTCACAAAATGAAATCTCACAATTTTGTGAATACTCACCTTGCAATGTATGTGCATTTTCAGATTGTTTTCAATGTAAGTGAAAAGATGTACCAAATAATAGATACAAACCAAAATTGTTTTATTCTGTGCCTTTGATGAATGACTATGCCGTTCTGACATGTCTAGAGGGTTTATGGGCATTTTGTAAATAAACAAAGATTTATTAGTGAGGTGAAATTATCAGTCTATTTGTTGTTAAAGTTATGTGTAAATGTAAACCTCCAATGTAATGTGTAGTATAAAAGTGCTTGAAATAAACCATCAATTGTTTATTATTTACAATTCTCACAAAGGAGTATCCAAATTTTCTCAAGATATACACCAAGAGATAATTACAAGGCTTATTGTCATGTACATGTTTTCAAAGTTTTACAGTCAGTATCGTATATTTTATTTGCATGTACAAATATTTTGCTACTTAATTTATTTTGTATATTATATACAATTATCTACAGATCTTCCCATGTTGTAAAATTAAAGGTCTTAATTCACCCTCTGGAAATTACCATCAAGAGAAACAGACACTTTTGTCAGATATCTAATTGTAACAATGACAGTATCATGATTTCCAGGGGATTTACTTCCATTGCAAATAAAGCTTTAGTCAAACAGGCGAGTTGTCTTTAATTGAGTGAGTGAGTTGGCTTTTATACCGCTTTTAGCAATATCACAGCAGGGGACACCAGAAATGGGCTTCACACATTGTACCCATGTGGGGAATCGAACCTGGGTCTTCGGAGTGACGGGAGAATGTTTTAACCACTGGGCTACAGCCCCTGTCTTTTATTGTGTCATATCTTTGGTGTAGCAGTAGCGAGCACCAAGACCTGATCTAAGGCCAGACCAATTTTATTTCTTGTTTTACGGGTCCGCTGGTCATATTTTTTCAAGAATAAGAAAAAAAAATAATAATAATTTTCCCCGCTCAAAATATAAAATCCTCATGTTTCTATTGGCCAAAATTGTAAACTTACAACAAAAATATTTTGAATTGGTTTTTTGTGCCCCCTATAAACTTCATAAATTGCCAAAAATAAAATACTTTTAGTACTTAAAAAGGAAAATTATTTTGACCAGTGATTTTTATTTTTTCCCTCCTGCCTTTTGGTTTTCTGAGGACAAAAATCCGTAAAACAATAAATAAAATTGGTCTGGCCTAAATGAGATTTAAAAACCTTCTTTAACCTGAGTGAACATTGTTATGTTTTGGCTGCCAGATGTGCATTATTGAGTGCCAGGCAGTTAAACCAATGGCTGATAGCATAGAGTTGGAATGAGTGAGTTAGATTTGATGCCACTTATATCGTATCATGTGAGCTTCAGTGGAAGAAGACCCAACTGCGGAGCTGGTCCTAGACTTATGCCATTTGTTGAAACCCAGTTGCACGCAAATGTAACTGACAAACTAGGAAATAAAACCCGGGCAAATCAGGATGCGAACCCACGATAATAGTTTCTGGAACACCCTAGGGATGCATAGTGGAACCGGAAGAAGAATGACAAATTTATATCACACATCAGGGGTGGAAATAACTTTTAAGATTGCTAGTGTACTCCGGTACAGTGGCACATGTAAAATCACGTGCTCTGATAATTTTTCCACTATACCGGCCGTTTTCTTGTTGATTTTTTAAATAAACAACATAATTAACATTGGAATATCAACTGGACACCGGTACAGTGTGATATACAAATTTGCTTGCCCGACAGAAAAAAACACTGGACTCGGGCGTCGAGGCAATGGGTTATTTCCACCCCTGCACATCCACACCCACCATCTGATCAGTGACCCTTGGTCAATCCTGATGCATGAAAGAACGAACACCTGTCATTGAGTTGTTCTATACTTCAGTCAGCATACATCGCAGCTCAAATTTTGCAAAATAATCAAGTTTGGACCTGACAAACAGAATGTGCTACAAACTGACTGTACAATATCCATCTCGTCTTTGTGCTCTCATTTTGTAATACATTTTTTTGGGTATGGCATAAAGAAAACATTTGTGGTTAACAGTATGAACATTTCTCAGGTTACCACAGCGATACTCAATTTGCCAGGTCCACACCATTCTTGATTATACAGTCCATTATATCAACAGTCTTTTATGATAGATATTCTGGACCCATTTACCACAATAGCATTGTTTCTCTCCAATCACAAACTCCGCACAGATTTTCCTTGCTTGGCAAGCATGAATTAATCTGACACTGCGACTTTGTGTTATCTTGGTCAATAAACATCTTGTATTTGGTGTTTTCAGAAAGTCATCAAATATTAGGGTTGAAAATGAAACTAAGGTACCACACAGACACAACTATGTTTTCAGGTATCTTTACGCAATTTATTTCGGCCATTTTGGCCATCTTGACAAAGGTGGATATGGTGAACTTGTCACAACATCAAACAGGCATGGTATTGAACATAGTATGTTTTCCAGCAAATATTTATTCCTTTCCATGAACACCAAGATTTCAAATATTTGGACACTATTAATAATATCAGCGTATGAACTTCCTAAAACACTCACATGTTCACGTCTGCTATGGAAAAGCTGTGATGAGTGCATTAACATGACAATTGATACATGACCGCATAGAAAAAATAATCTCATTCAGAAATACACGATGCATTGTAATGGCAGTCAAATCAACATATCAAACTTACACAAAAATGTTTTGTCATGAAACCACGGTAACAAGACCTCATTAACAAATCAAAACAAAAACATTTTCAGATACACAACATAAACATGTGCAGGGTATAGGAAAAACAGTATCATGTGAAGACTATATGTGAGTGATCTAAATTCATCTAGGTTAATGGTACATGTATATGAAACTATTTTCTGTTTTTTTATTTGTTTGAATATGGGTTGTCTCCTCTTGGACCCCATGATGAATATGTAACATGTCAGACAAACAAACTCAAAACAACATTTTGATCAGGACTTCCAGCGATTAAATCCATCACTATACTTTGTGATTACTTGTCATCCATCACTATACTTTGTGATTACTTGTCATCTCTCGCTTTGCGATCAGCTGCTTTCAGTGAGACCCATGTGTTGAGCTTTTTTGCACGTAACTTGCTCCAGATCATGTGATCCGACAAGGAAAGAATTTGAGCAGCGTTGAGACCAGCAGCTTCAGGAGATAGGACTGTTCCACATCCAAGGCCTGTGAAAAGGGAGTGTATAATTAGATTTATATACCAACCAATATATCTTCCCCTGACAGTATCAACTGTAAACATCTGACCATGAAAATGAAGGAACCAAATATACAGTATTATTATGGTGAGGGTAGGGTTGCAAAGATGCAGGTTTTTCTTTGAAAAGAGGAGCTGATCAATTTGATTTATTTTCTTATCTTTTCAAAAGTTTTATTCATGTTGTAAAAGAGCCAACTATTTTTCCCCTTTGTTTAGAACAAATGCCCAAAATGTGGAATTCAAAATGAATTAGAACCAGGAACTGAGAGTGGTGGGATTGAGAAGTGTGGCATATTAAACACAGAGAGAGAAAAGCATAACACACACTGACAAAAGCTGTGAGAGAGTGAGTGAGTTTAGTTTTACGCCACTTTTAGCAATATCACGGCGGAGGACACCAGAAATTGGCTTCACACATTGTACCCACGTGGGAAATCGAACCCGGGGCTTTGGCGTGACGAACCAACACTTTAACCACTAGGCTACCCCACCGCCCCTGACAAAAGCTGTAGAGGTAATAACAATTTTAACTGAATAGGGCCCACTTGCACAAAGCAATCTTAGCAATTGTAACTACTCCAACACAGACATAAGACAGTCTTAGCTCTAAGATGGCTTTATGAAAGTGGGCCCAGGAGCAGACGCCATCTGACTGAAAAAGAGAAATCTCACTGCCTCTTGCAAGCATCAGCTGCTACATTCTTATCCTAAATTACTAAACATTCGTCAAACTGTTAAGGCGATTAATCCTACCTGATGGTAACCGTAGCGATGACCAGATGTCCTGTGATCCCCATTCCCCAGTGACTGGGGGACAGTTAATCACCGGCCATGTAGAGTTGGCAGACAGCACTGGTCCGAGGCCATTGCTCCTCCCTGCTACGGCCACAAATACAGTCGGAATACCCTCTCCTAAACACCAGAACAAACGTTTTACAAGAAACTTTGAAACAGAAAAACAACTGACTGCATATATTTTCCAAATTCAGGTTTATAGGTGAACATCTTGTCCACCACATTTTACAGATATTAAAATCAACACTACCAGTGTGTAACATGCAACGAAGTTGCAACGATAAATACTCAAAAGAAGTTCAAATAAAAATCTACACAAAGTCAGAATTTCTTAGGTTAATCACCTGACAGTATCTTCTGAACTAAGACTAACTTCTAGTGTTTTCCTCTCTAAATATATACATGGTTCAATCAATGATCATGGTTCAAGGATTTTTGGTAAGGTGATGTGAAACGTCTCATTATAAGTTGTTCACTGGTCTTGAGGGGGACATGGGCTGATGTACCCTCGATGTTTGTTTATGTTCCCTGAGCCCGAAACATCAACATAAAGAAACATCAAGAGTACATCAACCCATGGGCCCCGAGGGACCAGTGAACAACGTATTTATCTTACCAAACACCTCAATGGTAATTTTGAACTGTGTGAAGCACGGGTATCGGATCACAGTATAGAATACCAGACGACAAGAAAAACAAATTTAGGGTTATCTACCTTCCATCAATTTGCAGTTGCAAAACATCGGTAGTTTCCGTACATCATGTTATTCGAAATAAAGAATTTTTACTACAAAGTACCAAATGAGGTCGGCATTCCCAGCGGGGTACATAGAAAATGTTACTTGCTTGTAAGCGGGGTACATTGAAAAATAATAGAAGAGCGCTCAGCCAATCAGAAAACGACATTTATGTGTGAGGCAAGATAATTGCAATTGTTGCTCTTATATAGCAGAGTGCATGAAATCTCTATGTCTGCTAGTACTAGTTAGGACTTATGCCTGTTTTATATACTCTTTAAAAGAAGTAAGGGAATTAATTTTTAATTTGAAAAAAACCCATATATCGAAGTCAATCAATGTTGATATGATAATGAATGTTTTGAGATTGCATCACCACTTGCACGTCCTTATGACCAGAGTTGTTTGTACAGTAGTCGCTCTTGAAAGATGATTGGTGTGTGACGTGAAATTTGCATGTGTACAATTTTCATTTTCAAACCAAAAAATGGCTAGAAACAAACACTAACTACTGTGTGATGCAAGATGATTGTCAAAACTAATGGTCTACAGTGATTTATCGACCCTCTTGAAATAAAGAATGACACCCCATGCACGTGTATGGGGCTACTGCGTTGTTCACATACATCCCATGCATAGTGTTTGGGGTGGTGATAAAGAGGAACAGTGGAGCGTTAATAAGATGTCTGTCTTTGAAAAGTTTGTTAACGCTTATATTTCCTATCCAAATTGAAAGTTCTTTTAAGTGAGTGAGTAAACCTGTCATTCATTCAGTCTAGAGTGAGTTTAGTTTATGCTGCACTCAGCAATATTCCAAAACTATATAATGGCAGCAGTCTGTAAATAATGTGTGTTGTGGCCATGGAAATGAACACGTTTACAGTAATCGACTCTAGGCCAAACAATCCTGTGCTCAACAGCATGAGCATCGATCTACGCAATTGGGAACCGATGACGTGTCAACCAAGTCAGTGAGCCTAACCACCCGATCCCGTTAGTCGCCTCTTACAACAAGCATAGTCGCCTTTTGTGGCAAGCATGGGTTGCTGAAGACCTATTCTACTCCGGATCTTCACGGGTCATTCTTTTTAAGAGGACAGCCCTATCTCACTCTGCATTCCATGCAGCAGTTTAACATGGATACACCACTCAGATACGACTCCATGACGACTATGGCCAGTCCTTGTTAGCAACCTCAATGCCAAGTCACACTCCGGGTAATAACAAGAACCATCCAAACATATTTTTGTACGATTTAGTCAGGGAATAAAAAAACCAAACAGGCCATCTGTTTTCTATCGATCAACCCACTGGGCCAATAGGCCTGTTGGTTCAAGGACAATATATATTCAACCTTTACTCATGCCTACCTTCATAGTCAGCTAGGATCTGAAGCACCTCATCTGTTGACTTGTGGGCAGACGACACTCTCATCTCACATGGCACTCCGTAAGCAGCACAGGTTGTCTTGATTTTCTCCGCGAATGCACTGTCAGTTGGGGAACCCATGATAACTATGGCACGTGCATGGGGCTTGGGTGTCAGTTTCTGAAAAAGTACAATGGCTGAAATTATGATAATCATTTTTTTACAAAATGTCTGGACAGGGGCCGAAAGGTTGTCGAAATGAAGGAAGTTTAAAAACAATAAATAAATAAAATCATGATAGAGCATGGATTTTGTCCTTGCATTTCCATAAATCATGGTATATGTGACCAATATCGTCTCTAAAACAAGGAAGTTGAAAACCGACAGAGCAAGGATTATGCCAGTGTATTGTCAAATATGTAAGCAAGTAATTCAAATCTCAAGGGTGAGAGAGTATGCCGCTTTCAGCAATACTCCAGCAATATCAAGGCAAAGACACCAGAAATGGGCTTCACACATTGTGCCCATGTGGGAAATTGAACCAGGGTCTTCGGCGGGATGAGCGAACGCTGTAACGACTAGGCTACCCCCTGTGTGTATCCAAATCTAGATAGTCATATCCAGCACTTAAAACAACAGGGATGACATGACACCTAATCTCATTGCCACCTTACCATTTGAACACATCCCCACCTTCATATTGCTGGAATAAAACTAAAATCAGTGTTAGTCCCATCTACCTCGACTCGCTCAGCCACCCACTGGAAATTCCTCTTGACCATGTCCAGCCTCTTGGGTGACCTCCTTGAGTTCCCGGTAAACCTGCTTGTCCTTCATCAGGCGACGGTCTCCAGCAGGCCAGAGTCGCCACGAGTCACTGTCGATCACATCGCCGAGAACAAGCTCACCTGTTATATATCATGATACTGAGAATGAAGTAAGGGATGTAGTTAGCAACATTAGAGATAATTGCCATGATCCAAATCTGGCACAGGTGATATGAAGGGTTATCCCATAGGAGATAATGATAAAATGAATTTGCATCACAAAGCTCTGTAGACTATAGTGACCTCATTGGTTACCATGTTACTAATCTCCATGCTACTGAATCTTGTAAGCAGTAGTTTTTACACACAATCTCGTTATTCTAAACCTAAATTGGATGTTAGCCTGGAAAGCTTACTGAATATGTATTTTTTGACAGATAGTATCAAGTCCCAAACTTGAAAAACATAAGGAAGTCCACAAGATACAATGAATGTCACATTGTATATTGGCTTAGAATTAGATATTAGTATGTCAACCCTCAGTGATAAAACATCACTGAACAGCAGGTCAACGTGATTTCCAAGGGACTAAAGTTCATTCCAACCACACCACTCCAAGAACCACGAATTTACTTCATCACCAACATTGAAAAGGGACTCCAACAACTAGCTTTGCCTAGGAGGTAAGATTGACTACTTCTACGCCACCAGATAACCGACATCCTTGCCAAAGCCAGCCCCCAACCACCCAACCTCACAGCTGCCGAAAAACAAGCCATCCATCACCTACTTAAACGACAAGGAAATCACCATTGCCCCAGCCGACAAGGGCAAGGCCACAGTCATCCTGAACACACCGGACTTTCACAGCATGGTCAACAAGATCCTCCATGACCCAACCACCTACCGCAAGATCAAGAAAGACCCTGACCGCCAAACTCAGCCAGCCAACATAAAGCCAGCCTCAAACAACTGAAAGAGAAGTACCTTAAATCAGCCAGCAACTATATTACAAACTAGCCACATCTAACCCACAGCCACCGTATGCCAGAGCCACGATAAAATCCACAAGACCCCACCCAAGGCCAGACTGCTTTGTGTGCTCCAGAGACACTGTGTTCTACAGTACCATTTCAACACCTAACGGAAATCCTTTGCCCCACTCGGTAAAACAGCGACTCCTACATCTCTGACTCGACGGATTTCTGTAACAAACTCCTCAAAATAACTGAAGCAGACCAGATCCTGAGTTACGATGTTGTGGACCTCTTCACAAGTGTCCCCATAGAAGAAACTCTCCAAATCCTCCGCCAACGCATCTCTGAATTAGAAACTCCCTTGACACCAACCTCACCACTGACTCCATCATTGCCCTCACCTCTGCCTGCATCACCTCCACTTACTTCACCTGGGAGACGACTACTATGAACAAATCCACGGCCTGCCCATGGGCTCTCTGTCCCCAATACTCACAGAAATCTACATGACCTCCTTCAACAGCAAGCACTCAGCACCTCAACCATCAAACCAACCTGCTGGTACAGGAAGGTCGATGACACGCTTGTCATCCTTCGCAAGACTCAAGACCCAGCAGCCTCCTGCAACACCTCAACCAACAGCACCCCGGTCCAATTCACCTTAGAAACAGAATCCAGTGGTCAACTTCCCTTTCTAGATGTCCTTGTAACCAGAACTCCAGCCAACAAGATCCGCACTTTCAGTGTCTATAGAAAGCCAACCCACTTCCGACCAATACATTCATTTTGACTCCAACCACCCTTTGAGAACCAAAACTGGCATTATCTCCACCCTCACCAGACGAGCCATCAACCTTTTCCTCCACCAGTCCCACTACAGAAATACAGCACCTCCGCCATGTTTTCACCAAGTTCAACCACTACCCGTGAAACTAGTCGATAAAATTATCAGCACCACACTCCACCCAACAAGAAAACCGGCCTCCAACAAACCTGAACCAGCACCTATTCAGATCTCCTCCCCTTCATAGGGAAAAACCTCTCACCACATCAGCCGCCTCTCAAGCGAGAAGCAGGCATCAAACCTACTTTACCAGCTCTACACCACTAAAAACCCTACTGAAAGCTTAATGGCAGGAATACTCTAAACGACAACATCAACCCAAAGGTGTTGTCTATAAAATCAACTGTGATTGTGGCGCAGGCCTATGTAGGCTTGAAACCTCCCGCCCATAAATATCCGGGAATCAAAGAACACTTATCATCTACCACTAAATCTGATAGAAAATCGGCATTATCAGACCACATCATCAACTGCCCCAATCACAACATAATTTGGGACAATGTGGACATATTATCCAAAACCACCAGGACTTCACCAAAAGGAAACTTGCAGAAGCAGTTCAAACTGGAGACACAAGCCCTCAATCAACAGAGACCAGGGATATCTCTATCCCTTCTGCATACAATGATCTCATAAAACAACAGATTAGAGCACCTCAGCCATCATTGTTAATTAATTTCATCAGCATGTATATTTTGTTTTTACATCAACCACCATTGGCTTCCTATTGTCACATAATCTAATTTAGTTCATTTGTCACAGAAGAGAATGATGCCCACTGAGTTTGTAGATTGATTCATGGGTTTAATACCTGTTGAAAGAAGTGTCTGTTGTAAACCAACATAAACAGTTACTGTGCTGACATACCTAAAATAACGATCGTTGGGGAATTCTACAGAGATCATAAGCCACTGGCTGCCTAAGGGAAGCAACTCTGTCAACACTATGAAATATAGCACAACACAGAATGTTGCAGCCCAGAGATATAATCTCATGCCTTGGTATGAGTGAGTGAGTGAGTTTAGTTTTACGCCGCACTCAGCAATATTCCAGTTATATGGCGGCGGTCTGTAAATAATCGACTCTGGACCAGACAATCCAGTGATCAACAGCATGAGCATCGATCTGTGCAATTGGGAACCAATGACATTTGTCAACCAAGTCAGCGAGCCTGACCACCCGATCCCGTTAGTCGCCTCTTACGACAAGCATGGTCGCCTTTTGTGGCAAGCATGGGTTGCTGAAGATCTATTCTACCTCAGATCTTCACGGGTCCCTTGGTATGTGTACACACAGAAAGAGAAAATTTCAGGGCTTTGAATACTCATTTACAAAAACTGTTAGAAATCTGAAAAGTTTATCATGTTTATCAAATTTATCTTTGAATTCGGTTTATTACTGCATCCTCCTCACCTGTGTCGGCCCTCACACCAAACTCTATCTTCATATCAATCAGACTGCAGTCCAGTGAAGCCCAGCATCTCTCCAAGATCTCAAAGATGGCAACGGTTGTCTTGCCCATTATATCTATTTCGTCACGCCCTATCTTCATACCTCCCACCTCCATGTTGGCAGCCAGACACTGTTCGTAAGACCACTGTGGGTCGTGGTTCTCATCATCCTGTAAATGTGGGACATCCTTAAAGTCTTGCTTTCATATCATGGCACTGGTGAGGTGTGGTCAAATGAGGTCTAACATGCAAACTAGCCACTGAATCCATACACAAGAGTGAGTGAGTCAGTAAGTCAATGAGTGAGTTTAGTTTTATGCTGCACAGTTGTAACTGTGATATTCCTTACCTTAAAGAATGTCTCTAGTTTAGGGGGGCAGAACTTGTAACCCTCCTTCACGCCAACATTCCTCTTGAGGAACGACCCCGTAGCAACACGGCGAGTGACCCACTCAATTGGTATCATGCTACATTTGTATGCGATGAAAGACGTGTCATTGTTCTGTTTAATGAAGTGAGTCTTGATACCTGAAAAGCAAACATTTGTGAACATTATATGCAGACAAATCCAAAATCATGGACTATTTGCCTGATTAGTTTACACTTCATGACAACCGATGATGAAAGACAATTACAAGATCAAACCAAATCTTCTGTCAAAGATCAATGAGTTCAGGCAGGCTAAACATGAGTAACGATTCAGGGTATTGCCTCTACCCACAAACATGGGGGCCACAGGGACCCCTCATTATTAGTTTTAAGGGTCCTTGCAGGCAATATGAGGGTCTTGTGAAGTAACGGGCAATGGGTTATTTCCACCCTGAGGGTCGGTAACGGTGTAGAGAACTGTATATTTTGATAATTTCTTTAGAGCCTGGAATGAATCATTGATCATGTGGATTGATGGATGAAATGATGGAAGTCACTGCTCTGAAAGAAACAACCAAACACTTAGAAAAGTCACAGATGTGTTGTGGGTACAGTGAATAATATTGTGCATCCCCCTGGACGCAGTGAATTTTTTGTAACCATTCTCTACATTTGTATGTACTGGACGTCCATTTATGTGTTGCATAAAACCCCGATGATTAATCCCCTTTGGAGAACAACAACACACATCTAACCACATTCAAGCACTTGGTACTGGGGACTTATGGAACAATGACATTTGTTGCCTGCTCGTGCAGTGATGTACAACCATATTTATATCCCAACACGAGCTGAATTCGACGTTCTGGTGATTTCGACGATTGCATTGCTCGCGCTATATCGGGTGAGTATGTGTGCGATCGGAGTGCACAAACAGTTTCACTGGTAGGGCGGGTGCCCAGTCGCTGTCGTGAGAAGTTTTATTGACAATGGAAATCGGGAAGTAAGGCTATATAAAAAGCAAACAAACATCAATATTATTTACCCGAGATCGTTAATACCACTTCAGATGCAAAATCAGTTGCCTTTATAACAAAAAATAGCAAGTGAAAATTCAGTAAGATCAGTCGTCTGCTGGTGGCAGGCAATATATAAATAGGAAGCCACGTGATCACAACACTCCCCGGCAGTGCGGAGCAAAAAGTATGGCTCATCGTCGAAAACCCATACAAAATACCCGGATGTTACGAGCGGCCACTGTTTCGCTGATACGATGTCACCAACGCTATTTTTGTAGGAAACACTTGGTATTTTTGTATGAAATAGATGAATATATCCTTTATCACTCGAGGTTAGTAAAATAAAAACTTTAAATGATATTACAAATACAAATTACGTTTTTGTCTTACATCGTCGAAAACCCCTGACACCGGGATACTTACCAGCACTATTCAGCAGATTAAACAGGGCCACAGTGGTTGCCGTGGAGATTGCAGCCTTGCCCTCCATATCGTGAGCACGTGCCCCATCTCCAGCAGTGATCCGATCCTTCGACTGAAGCAAGACCTGATTGGGGAAATCTACCAGATTTGTAACAATCTTTGTCTTGCCTTCTATAACCTTCTCTCCAAGCTTCAGTTCTGAAAGGAGAGTATCCATTCCATGTGTATGCCTTAACACTGCAGCCTGATAAAACTCATTATATTCAAAATCAAATCTGTGATAATGAAAAATAATTGTCTCATGTCATGTGCCTCAAAATCATGACAATTATTGCATTCCTATCTAATGTTTGCTCATTGTATAATTCCAGCTCTATGATGGTGTTCAGTAAATAATCAAGTCTGGAACAGACAGTCAAATTTTTTGCTCATGGGCATCAAACAGTTATGATACATATATTTAGTGAGGGTGGCGGGGTAGCCTAGGGGTTAAAGCGTTGAGCTCATCACACCAAAGGCCTGGGTTTGATTCCCCACATGGGTACAATGTGTGAAGCTCATTTCTGGTGTTTTTAGTATTGCCATTTTGTCACTGAATAACTAAGAAAAACATTTGTTGCGAATGAAAGTCTGTGTAGATATTAATTTAAACCATAAAGATAATCACAAAAACAAATATGTTCTTTACCCAATAAAAATTTGGCTTTAATATTGATATAACGCAAAGCATTTCTACATTCCAGTTACTGGGCAAATATACTAAAATACACTTTTCTAGTTTCAGAAAAGAATATGTAAATACACTGTTACACACCGTCAGGAGAGGATTTCTTTAGCGCAATTTCAAGTATCAATTTCTATAAACTAATTGGGATCTAAGTAAATCATAGACTCTTGCTCTTTTAGGGTTTGAGTCCCACAATTGTATCTAACCAACTCAACCAAAAAACGTACAAACTTCTGTACTTTACTGAGCAAGTGTAATCTTAAATATAATCTACCGTATATGTTACATATGACCAAGTTTTAAAAGACTTGGTGTATTCACACCAGTTTCCCTATAATAGATGGGTTTTTTTATATCACTTATTAATTTAATCAATGAGAATAGTTAATGCAAAAAACTTTGGAAAACTGCCACAATTTATTGTTATCGGACACTATTTCAGCCAGAAAAATCAGAGACCATATCCCGTCTCTGGAAAAATTAACATCAGTGATCACTCATGCTGTGATAGAAGCATCTTTAAACTCATACATTAAAGGTTGACAATATTTATGTCATATGATAAATTATTTTTAAAATACAAATAAGTAGTATTTTCAAATAGTTGACTTGATGCTCTGCTTTATAACAAAGAAGACAAGTTCAAATTTTGTTATGTACTGTTCGACCTATGCTAACATGGTGCGCAGACGTTCCTCGTCCTCACTATACCGCGGTAGGTAGCGGGAAATTTGGAAGAAAACAACATTGTTTACTGTTGATGACAACTTCTAAGACAAATTCAGACATATTCTTCAGACAAATACTCACGATCTCCTGACATGGTGGTATGAAGTTGTACTCAGATTACTGAAATCAGATGTCTAACTGCACCAGACTGCTAACAGGATAAACACACTGCCACACGTGGGTTTGGCGTGTCACAACGTCACACATCCGCGAGGTGATAAAGCTCCGTGATAAACGTCAATTACAAAATAAAACGTCTACAATTACGAGTAAATAATGACAGTTTAACAGTGTTTGTCTATTAACAAATTTCAGAAAATAAAAGATACATATATATTACGTTAAGCTAAATTGCGGATGAATATTTATCATCGACAGTAATCCATTAAACTGGTCGCGGTATGAAACTGCGGTGCTAAGCGAACCATGAAATGTCGACCTGGAAACAGTCTTATGTTAAGAGCCTTATAGCGAGGGAGAGTTTGACCGGGTCTCCGATAGAATCTGCTGTTCCATTTAATTTCGTCGGCGTTTTCTATTTCTTGCGGTCACATACAAACTTGTTTGACGCTGTCAACCGATTTCTTAGAATAAACGTAAGTAATGATATCGTTTCCTACGTATATTCAGTTTGAAATCACTCATGCAGAATCCAAATTACCCACGTGTTGTCTGACTGCATGGCATTGGCTATCGTTTCTTCGAACATCAGTTTGCTTATCATATTTCAATTATATGTTTTCATACACATGATTGTTTGATCTGACAACTATTGCCACTGAGATATTAGTTATATCCCAACGTTGGATTTACCAGTAAGTTTGTCAAATATGTATGTGTGAATGTGGTCAAACAGTTCAACTTCAGGTCATAGCATGTCAATGCCATGACATTATTGGGCCATTATGACGTCAGACTCACTGGCCACTGACCTCACTGTCAAAAGAGGTCAGGCTCCCAGACTTGGTAGACACATCGTATTCTATTTGCATAGATTGATGCTCATGCTGTTGATCACTGGCTTGTCTGGCCCAGACTCGATTATATACAGATGTCATCATGTCAGTGTTTGAAAAATATCACCAGCCCTGAGACACCGAGCTGATTGTTATTGTATCGGGCTGGCAGTTTCAAATATTTGTTGGCCCTTGTGGCCTTCAGTAAATTTTCTGTCAATTGTTTTTATAAACTAGAATCTTTCCCATAATGTGAAATTATTATATTAGAGATCATCTGTGATACATCATGTTACGATAACAGTTTCACTTCCTGGTATTTCATCGATAACAGTTTCACTTCCTGGTATTTCATCGCTTTGTGCATAGGAATGTCAACACCAGTCTTTAACAAACAAGAACTTCTGTCTGCGCCATAGACTTTGCTAATTGATTTTATAGAAACAGTATGAGACTGTGTACAGTGTAGTCTATTTTGGTTTTAATGGTTTGACTTTAACAAATGGGCCTGCAGATTTCATTCAGGGCTTTTCGATTTTAAAGCCTGCAGGCGGCAGCAGGCCCTGATGGCCAACTGGCAATTAAAGTATTGCTAAACACTGCATCATATCCTTTTTGCTTTGATTGATGCTCATGCTGTTGATCACTGAATTGTCTGGTCCAGACTTGATTATTTACAGACTGCTACCAATTAGCTGGAATATTGCTGAATGTGGCATTAAACAACAAAACAATTGAACAATCAATCATCCAGGTCACAGCAAGAATGTGGAGCAACTGAACAAATGTCAGTGTAATTCGGTTCACCCAGTCACCACTCATTGTATTCCTACTGGCTCGCGTAGTTGAAGTCATGAATGTGGATGGTACACTATCCTGAAAACTATCTGTACCATTCTGTTGTAAATAAAACCAGCAAGTTAATTTTAAGTTATGAATTAGAACTGTTTTCTATAAATAAGTATAATGTATAGTTACTTTATTTAAATATTAAGAAAAAAATTTTTTCTTGAAAACTATCTCAGTATGATGAATATACTTAGGGACCGTTCATAATGTGTGCGTGCGTGTGTTTTTGTGTGAGAGTGAGTGGGAGAGAGAGATGATGATGATCATCATTATTTTGTTCTGGGGAGGTGGGGGGTAATCAATTTTGTACACATGTACTGAAAGGGGGACTATGACTATGACTATGATGGTTTATCAAGTCTAGATTTTTTCAGAAAGTCCTACCTAAAACTGACAATTTCCTGCAGTCGTTTTCTATATTATGAGGTTCTGGGGGTAGCCTAGTGGTTAAAAGCGCTTTCATACCTTCTAATCCCCACATGGGTACAATGTGTGAAGTCCATTTCTGGTGTCCCCGCCGCGTGATGTTGCTGGAATATTGCTAAAAGTGGCGTAAAACCAAACTCAGTCAGTCAGTCAGTCAGTCAGTTTCTATATTATGAAACAATTTCATACCTAAAATCTTCAGACTCAGACGGTGTGTGGTACATTGCACAGATAGCATTAATTACATTCAGTCGAGAGACTATCAGATATTAGACAATATGTGAGTGAATGAGTTCAAAGTTAACGTTGCATCGGCAGTATTTCAGCCATATAGTGACTGACAGTAGGTAAAGATGTGTAAGGGCCACTGACCACTGGACTGTAACCACATGTACAGGTGTCATTAACTGCTTTCTTTAGAGAGAAGGTCATTCCCGTGGGACCAGCAAGCGTATTGTTATGAGGGAATAGTGGAGCTCATGCATGATTGATGTGTACTTGAGAGAAAAACAGTCAACAGCAGTTATCTTGTGCTTCTTCCTTTTTCTTTACATGATTGTGATTAAAATGTAACGTGTAAGACAAAAACCCTCACTTAATGTGTCATTGTGATCAAATTTTGCAATTCCAACAATGTGTAGAATAATGTCATGGTGGTCTAGGTTGACTTATAGATACCAGCAGTTTAGCGTATAACTAGCCATATGAACTAAAGTGACCATTTTCAAACAAAATTTAAGTCCCTGCCGACCCGCGAAGATCTGGGTTAGATATGGCCTTCAGCAACCCATGCTTGTCGTAAGGGGCGGGATCGGGTGGTCAGGCTCGCTGACTTGGTTGACACATGTCATTGCATCCCAATTGCGTAGATTGATGCTCATGCTGTTGATCACTGGATTGTCTGGTCCAGACTCATTTATTTAAAGACTGCCGCCATATACCGGTAGCTGGAATATTGCTGAGGGCAGCTTTAACCAACCAATCAACCAACCAATTCCTGTCTGAATTTTTATACTTTGGTATTCGCTTCCTGTCCCTGTGTCACTCATTTTCTGTTTAAGATATCGGCCATGTTTTCCACCTCAGAATAAGTTGTAAGAGTCGTGCTGTTTAGACATTTTTGACAACACACAGACTCAGTCATCCCCTCAATATTTGACATAAGTGGTGAAAATTTGAAAAGTAACAGAGCTCATGATTGGTCAAACTATGAATATAGCACACATGGCTATATCGCACACTGATTTCTGATGTTAAACAGTGTTAAAACCTCTTTTGGATGATAACTAGATACATTTCTGTATGAACACTAGGTACCAAGGCATGCAAATGGTCAGGATACAGTGAGACACAATGGACTGATGCCTATATAATAGCGTTGTTAGACAGGCATTGGTCCTATTGTAACCCAGAATTCTCACAATGTGGTCTTTCAGTTGAAGAATTATGAAAATGTGGGAGAATTATTTGTTTTGTCATCTTGCTGTTACTTAAACCACTTGTTTGAAATGTGTGTGTTCCTTCTGAGTTCGCGCGGGGTCTAATGTTGTTCTCTTATACTTTTCTAAGTAATTAGCCAAAATAGTGAATACAACTAACAAGAAACACTTTATGACCTGAAGACCTGACAACATTACAAACAACACACTGTCTTAATTAATTTACATATTGTGATGTTGGAAGTTCAAGAAATTTGTTCTCTTAGACCTTATCAGTAAAATTAATTAATTAGACCCCATTTAACATAGATGGGTTTATGTTCAATATCCAGTCACTCCTTTTGAACAGTTGGGGGCAAACCTTAATTAGCCATAGTGTGCCAAGTGAGCCATATTGTAACTGTTTCTTCTAGCACAGCATGGGTTAATCCTACCATTCAGTCTCTTATGTAATGAACTCCTTATATTTCTACTACTGTTACTTAGTAAACGAGTTGCATCTTGATAACGTCAGATGGATATTTTCTGATGGCAATATCAGGGCAAGCAAACAGTTCATCATTTAGAAGCTGGGGTAGAAGTCACATAGGGTGCTTTTGCTTTAAGGAAGGGGAATTAAAATGGCGGAAGACTTTCGCAATGATGAAGAAGAGGAGTTGCGTGAGGCTTGTGGCGTGTTTGGCTGTGTTGCGGCGTTATGCCGGGGAAGTGGCCAACACAACTAGACATCGCTCACATCATACACCTGGGACTAGTGGGATTGCAGCACAGGTACGTGTGATACGAGTTAGAATTTGGTGATGTGTATTGTGAATAGTTTAATTTATGTTATGCCAAACAAGATACTCATTACATTATTCAGTGACATGCAGATGTGCTACTCAAAGTTTGGTAAGGATCAGCTTTGATGTTATAAATGTTTATTCCAGGGGTATGAAACTCCCAAAGAATTCAGCCAGACCACAGGGCTGGATAGATGTAAAACTTGCCAGCCCTGACCAAAACTTACCTGCCCACAAAATATCTTCATATACATAATGTCTAAATTTTAACCCAACCGTCAGGCAGGTGAATTTGAGAATCTGGCAGTCTGTGTTGAAAATAACCTGTCCCGGGCAGTCGGGCAGGCAGGTATTTCTAACGCTGATATTTAACTATTGAAATATTCCAAAACAGTGATGTGGCAACCCTGATAGAGCCTCAGTTTCATGATGAACAACAGAGGCATGCAGTCATGAGCTCAGTGTGCATGGTGTGCAAGAAAACCTGTGTGTTAGGAATATTGTGACAGAATGCGATGGCACTACAGAATCATTGCAAAACTTGGCTACAAAGAATTTGCCGTTAAAATGGGTAATCCTTAGCAGACCTTGAAGTACGATTGAATCATGGTCACATAAAAATAGTGTACACTTTTGGTCGTCCCGCCGAAGGGTATTGCCATACCAAAAGTTAAAATGGGTGATCCTTAGCAAACCTTGAGTAGTACATGTATGCTATATCATGGTCACATAAAAAGCTTTAGTAGTGTACTAATAAGTAATGAACAAAATATTCTTTATTTCAAGATGGAAGTATGTGAATGTGGTAAAGATGTCTGTGCTCATACTGAATCTTTCAACATGTTTACCATAAAAAAATGCCTGAGTTGTAAAATTACATTAAGGATGTTACAAGCCCCTTTCATAGGCAACATATAATGTACAATCTCCTTGCTGTTTGAAATATGAATGGTTTTCTCTTTGCTGAAACGAATGAAAGAAAACATGTTCATGCTTTTAAACATGTAACACATATACATGTACATATTCACGTGATAATCAGTTCCTTTGGTTGGGGAGGATATATATTTTATTTTGCCCCTCCTTTTCACTCGCAGGGGACAGGAGAGTGCTGGTATTGTCACAAGTATGGGAAATGGCCGAACACGGCAGAAGAAAGGAATGGGGTTTGTGGGAGCTGTATTTTCAGAAGAAGACCTACAAAAGCTCAAGGGAAATATTGGAGTAGGTGAGTTGCAGGGATGAGAACCTTCTCATCTTATCTAGCCCTTTGAATGATAACCATGAAAGATAGCCTAGTGGTTCGCACTCACTCACTCACTCACTCACAAACTGTACTCAAACTAGTGGTTCCTTTGAGTTCATTATTTGAGTCTAACCATGGTATATAATTACACAAACTGTACTATGTATTCAGCAGGGTAGCCTAGTGGTTTCACTCACTCACTCAAACTAGTGGTCCACTGGTATATAATTACACTGTACAAACTAGTGGTTCCTCACTCCCTCACCACTGAAACTAGTGGTCCCTTTGAGTTCATTATAAACCATGGTATATAATTACACAAACTGTACTGTGTATTCATGGTGGTTGTTCCAGGCCACACCCGCTACTCCACGCAAGGTGCATCAGAGCTGGTGAACATCCAGCCGTTCGTTGTGGAGACAATACATGGGCTCATCACTGTAGCTCACAATGGGGAGCTGGTAAACGCTGCTGCTCTCAAGAAAGAGGTAAATATGGCAGGAAATGAAATTATTGAAACCACTTTTCAGCAAAATATTTTTGCATCTCTAGATATGTTAACTGTATTGAGTTTGTCCTCAAACTGACTTTATCATTGTTCTTGATTTATCAGCACCTTGATTTACTTCATGATGCTGGTTTTCAAACAATGTGATTAACATCTATTGTGATATCAAAGTGATTATTCAGCCACAATATGGCTAAAATATTGCTGATGTGACTATAAATCTTAACTCACTCACTGATTAACATCCAATGGTATACTTTGATTCGAAAACCTCTCTGCATGAACATCTTCAGACACCTAAACACCTTCTTAGGGCAGGTGGGCAGTGGGGTAGTCTAGTGCTTAAAGCATTTGCTCATTATGTCGAAAGGGCGGTGGGGTAGCCTAGTGGTTAAAGCGTTCGCTCGTCATGATGAAGACCCAGGTTCGATTTCCCATATGGGTACAATGAGTGAAGCCCATTTCTGGTGTCCCCCGCCGTGATATTGCTGGCATATTGCTAAAAGCGGCGTAAAACCAAACACACTCACTCACTCATTATGTCGAAGACCTGTGTTCGATTCCACACATGGGTACAATGTATTGAGCCTATTTCTGGAGTCCCCTGCTGTGATATTGCTAAACGTGCAGTAAAACCATACTCACTCACTATTGTGCACAGAACCCTCAACTCATATGAAGAATACTGACCATGTTTCAAGTGTTACTACATGGTGTAGGGCTGTCCACAGCCTCTGACAGTGAGGTGATATGAAGAATACTGACCATGTTTCAGGTGTTACTACATGGTGTAGGGTTGTCCACAGCCTCAGACAGTGAGGTGATATGAAGAATACTGACCATGTTTCAGGTGTTACTACATGGTGTAGGGCTGTCCACAGCCTCTGACAGTGAGGTGATATGAAGAATACTGACCATGTTTCAGGTGTTACTACATGGTGTAGGGCTGTCCACAGCCTCTGACAGTGAGGTGATATGAAGAATACTGACCATGTTTCAGGTGTTACTACATGGTGTAGGGTTGTCCACAGCCTCAGACAGTGAGGTGATATGAAGAATACTGACCATGTTTCAGGTGTTACTACATGGTGTAGGGCTGTCCACAGCCTCAGACAGTGAGGTGATATGAAGAATACTGACCATGTTTCAGGTGTTACTACATGGTGTAGGGTTGTCCACAGCCTCTGACAGTGAGGTGATATGAAGAATACTGACCATGTTTCAGGTGTTACTACATGGTGTAGGGTTGTCCACAGCCTCTGACAGTGAGGTGATATGAAGAATACTGACCATGTTTCAGGTGTTACTACATGGTGTAGGGCTGTCCACAGCCTCTGACAGTGAGGTGATATGAAGAATACTGACCATGTTTCAGGTGTTACTACATGGTGTAGGGCTGTCCACAGCCTCTGACAGTGAGGTGATATGAAGAATACTGACCATGTTTCAGGTGTTACTACATGGTGTAGGGTTGTCCACAGCCTCTGACAGTGAGGTGATATGAAGAATACTGACCATGTTTCAGGTGTTACTACATGGTGTAGGGCTGTCCACAGCCTCTGACAGTGAGGTGATATGAAGAATACTGACCATGTTTCAGGTGTTACTACATGGTGTAGGGTTGTCCACAGCCTCTGACAGTGAGGTGATATGAAGAATACTGACCATGTTTCAGGTGTTACTACATGGTGTAGGGCTGTCCACAGCCTCTGACAGTGAGGTGATATGAAGAATACTGACCATGTTTCAGGTGTTACTACATGGTGTAGGGTTGTCCACAGCCTCTGACAGTGAGGTGATATGAAGAATACTGACCATGTTTCAGGTGTTACTACATGGTGTAGGGTTGTCCACAGCCTCTGACAGTGAGGTGATATGAAGAATACTGACCATGTTTCAGGTGTTACTACATGGTGTAGGGTTGTCCACAGCCTCTGACAGTGAGGTGATATGAAGAATACTGACCATGTTTCAGGTGTTACTACATGGTGTAGGGTTGTCCACAGCCTCTGACAGTGAGGTGATATGAAGAATACTGACCATGTTTCAGGTGTTACTACATGGTGTAGGGTTGTCCACAGCCTCTGACAGTGAGGTGATATGAAGAATACTGACCATGTTTCAGGTGTTACTACATGGTGTAGGGCTGTCCACAGCCTCTGACAGTGAGGTGATATGAAGAATACTGACCATGTTTCAGGTGTTACTACATGGTGTAGGGTTGTCCACAGCCTCTGACAGTGAGGTGATATGAAGAATACTGACCATGTTTCAGGTGTTACTACATGGTGTAGGGCTGTCCACAGCCTCTGACAGTGAGGTGATATGAAGAATACTGACCATGTTTCAGGTGTTACTACATGGTGTAGGGTTGTCCACAGCCTCTGACAGTGAGGTGATATGAAGAATACTGACCATGTTTCAGGTGTTACTACATGGTGTAGGGCTGTCCACAGCCTCTGACAGTGAGGTGATATGAAGAATACTGACCATGTTTCAGGTGTTACTACATGGTGTAGGGTTGTCCACAGCCTCTGACAGTGAGGTGATATGAAGAATACTGACCATGTTTCAGGTGTTACTACATGGTGTAGGGCTGTCCACAGCCTCTGACAGTGAGGTGATATGAAGAATACCGACCATGTTTCAGGTGTTACGGTGTAGGGTTGTCCACAGCCTCTGACAGTGAGGTGATATGAAGAATACTGACCATGTTTCAGGTGTTACTACATGGTGTAGGGCTGTCCACAGCCTCTGACAGTGAGGTGATATGAAGAATACTGACCATGTTTCAGGTGTTACTACATGGTGTAGGGTTGTCCACAGCCTCTGACAGTGAGGTGATATGAAGAATACTGACCATGTTTCAGGTGTTACTACATGGTGTAGGGCTGTCCACAGCCCTCTGACAGTGAGGTGATATGAAGAATACTGACCATGTTTCAGGTGTTACTACATGGTGTAGGGCTGTCCACAGCCTCTGACAGTGAGGTGATATGAAGAATACTGACCATGTTTCAGGTGTTACTACATGGTGTAGGGCTGTCCACAGCCTCTGACAGTGAGGTGATATGAAGAATACTGACCATGTTTCAGGTGTTACTACATGGTGTAGGGTTGTCCACAGCCTCTGACAGTGAGGTGATATGAAGAATACTGACCATGTTTCAGGTGTTACTACATGGTGTAGGGCTGTCCACAGCCTCAGACAGTGAGGTGATATGAAGAATACTGACCATGTTTCAGGTGTTACTACATGGTGTAGGGCTGTCCACAGCCTCTGACAGTGAGGTGATATGAAGAATACTGACCATGTTTCAGGTGTTACTACATGGTGTAGGGTTGTCCACAGCCTCTGACAGTGAGGTGATATGAAGAATACTGACCATGTTTCAGGTGTTACTACATGGTGTAGGGCTGTCCACAGCCTGTGTCAGTGAGGTGATATGAAGAATACTGACCATGTTTCAGGTGTTACTACATGGTGTAGGGTTGTCCACAGCCTCAGACAGTGAACTGATCACACAGCTCCTGACCAGGACTCCAGAATGTGGGGAGCCAGAAGGAGTCAACTGGGTCGGCAGGTTGGTTTATGTTTTAATTACAATGATGACTAGACCACAGGACTTGTCTTTGTGTTGTTTCACTTGTCCCCGAGTTTGTAGGTAATCCTGCATAAAAATTGACTCAGCATTGTGAAGTCCCGGTTCGACTCCCCTCAAGGGCACAATGTGTGAATCCAATTTCTGGTGTCCTCTGCCGTGATATTGATGGAATATTGCTATTGGTGAAAACAATACTTGCTTGTTAAATGAAGTATTTATGAAGGTGTTGTGCATGATGTTGCTTGTTTGATTATGTTGCTGTACTTGCCCATGCTATATTTTAAAAGTTCCAAGTTCACCTATGATTTCATAAAATACATATATACCATTAATATGGTTTTGTTAAAGGCACAGAACATTTATTTAAGCCTTAGGCCTGACTTATGTACAGGCAGCACAGCTGCTTCTATTTACTTCTATGTAATAAAAACTAATTCCAAACACTACCAAATGGCTACCAATTGGCACCAGCTGATCAGTTGATGCATCACAGAACATGATGACCTGATTTTCTTCCCATTTACCATTATTTCTGTTCCAGAATCAAGGCATTGATGTCAAAAGCGCCGACATCATATTCATTGGTTGTAATGCATGAAGACAAACTGTATGCAGTCCGGGATCCCTATGGCAACAGACCACTGTGTATCGGGAAGTTACTGCCTGCAGCTGTACTTACAGGTTTGTTCATTTCCAGCAGGACTTGTCATAATTACATCTTAAAACGATATTTTAGTTGGCATCTTAGTTATCTTATTGATTTAAACTATAATCATACCCAGGACAGTAGTCAGTTGGAACCCATCTCCTATATTGATACTGATGCCACATCTTACAGACAGTAGTGAGTTACTCATCCTGCCGCCCAGAGAGCGGAAGGTTGCGGGTTCGATCCCCGACCACGCCATACCAAAAGACGTTAAAATATGGTACTTGTTGGTCCCTGCCTGGCGCTCAGCATTAATGGGTACAACAAGGACTGGTCGGCTCGGAGTCAGTATAATGTGTCTGAGTGGGGTATTCATGCTTCACTGCGGCATGGTATCTCAGTGGGCTAGCACTATAAAACCAGCTTCAGTCTGGGCTAGTACAAGCAGCCGCACATACACACACACACGCATGCACGTTGTCATATGAGCGAAATATTCTCAAGCATGACGTTAAACACAATTTCACCTTACCTTAATTATCCTGACTTATGCTTTATTGCTTATCTCCCTTCTCCTTTCAACAGTTACGTGGTAACTTCAATCCTTTAGTTCCCTGAAGAATTGTAAAATCACTCACCCAGAGAGTTACACATAATTACTGTTGATACATAATGCAATTTAGTTAGTTTATCCTTGTTTGCCAATGCAACTGGATCAATTAAGTTAGAATAAAAAAACAAATTGAAATGTTTTGGTTGGAACATAAGTGTATGTGTGCTATTGACCTAACACATACTTGACATATATGAAAGCCTTGTTCTGTGATTGGCTACAGTATTTTGATTGACAGATGCAAAGGTGCAGTGACATTACTGTTCATTTTCTACCACCAAAATACAACTTCCACATTTGCTTGTTTCTCTGTTTATACAAGAGTAAAACCATTGAAAAGGGGGGTAACTCTTCATCCATGATGGGTATTGTGAAAGTCCACACAAATCACTATCCAGATTCTTTGGGCTGAAAACAAGAATATCTGAACCATCTATATAACTCTTCATCCATGATTGTTATTTCAATAGCCCAAAGGATTCACTTAGAGTGTTGTAAAAATCCACACAATTCACTATCCAGATTTTTTTGCCTTAACCAATAAGACTATCTGAATTATATGCTAATAAATATGGTGAAACGCCCCCAAGATTATTTGAAATTGGCTTATCAAAGTATTATGATGTATGACGTAACTCAAACATACTTTTTTTATTTCTGTTTTCATCTGTTTTATGGAGATATGTTTTGAACTCAGGCAAATTTGATGTCAACAATGAAGCTGCCGAAGGATGGGTCGTGTCTTCAGAGTCGTGTACATTTCATTCAGTTGGTGCAAGGTACCACAGAGAGGTGCTACCAGGTACGTTAGAGTGGCACTCTAATCCACTCTGGGTTTAATGCCTCTTTTCAGCAGTATTCCAGTTAACATGTGAGCTTTATGATGGAAGATGGCCCTTATCATGTGGTGGAAACCTGCAAGCACATCCATGGTGCTGATAAACCTGCAGACATAATCGTAAGGGTTGAGGGGGATCCGGGATTCGAACCACGCAAGTTTCTAACGTTTCTAACGTCTGCACAGTAAATTGTGCATCTTTCAACAACATGGCCACATGTGCCACCGAAAATATATAGATATTGTTAATATCACAAGTGGCAAAACAAAACGTGTTTTAAATCTTTTCACAATGTGTTTCTGTTTCTAGGTGAGATTGTAGAAATCAGCAGAGAAGGGGTTAAATCTCGACACATCGTCCCCAGACCTAACGGAGGACCGCCAGCATTCTGTATATTTGAATATGTATACTTTGCAAGGCCTGACAGTATATTTGAAGGTAAATAAAAAAACATGAACAGTTTTTATGAAAATGCTAAATGTTTACTCATTTTAAATAATCATGATGTATTTAGATTTGATCTATTAATGTAGTAAATGTTTCTTCTCTCAAAAGACTCTATCATAACGAAACGAAAGCATGTGAGGTAAGTGTCGCTGCTAATATCTTCCTTCCTTCTTCCCCCAGATCAGATGGTGTATCGGGTACGACAGCGATGTGGAGCCCAGCTAGCTAAGGAGTTCCCTGTTGATGTTGACCTTGTCAGTACTGTTCCAGAATCTGCCACCCCTGCAGCTATGGAGTATGCCAAGACGGTAAGTATATGTCCACTTCTTGGACTGGTAATGCGGTGGGGTAGCCTAGTTCACTAGTAGCATTCACTAGTCATGCCAAAGACCCGTGGGTTCGAATCCCCACATGGGTACAATGTGTGAAGCCCATTAGCCTGCAGCTAAAATTTATGGGGGTAATGGTGGGGTAGTCTAGTGGTTAAAGTGTTCTCTTGTCATGCCGAAGACCCAGTTTCTATTCCCCACATGGGCACAATGTGTGAAGACCATTTATGTTCTCCCCCGCTGTAATGTTGCTGGAATATTGCTAAAAGCAACAAAAGCAACGTAAAACTAAACTCACGTTCTCAAAATTTATGGGATGAAAAAAGACTGGTTGGCTGGTATTTATGTTTAAATGAAGCATGATATCTCACTGGCCTAGCATTATAAAACCAGCATAAGTTGACACTAATTTGAGTAGCCACATGCTTGGATGTAGCTTTTCACGTACAATATTCTTGGACATGACTTTAAACCCCATTTCACCTCGTCTGAACACAGTTACTTGGACAATGTTATCTGACTCTTGTCACTCTGTAGTAAAGTAGACTCGTAAAGATGTGGGTTAGAATTGATTTTCAGTAACCCATGCTTGTCATAAGAGGTGAATAGCGGGATCGGGTGGTCAGGTGAGGTGACTTGGTGGACATGTCATCGTATCTCAATAGCGTATCTCAAATGCTCATGATGTGCATCACTGGATTTTCCGTCCAGGCTCCATTATTTACAGACCGCCACCATATAGCTGGAATATTGCTAAGTGGCGGCGTTGAACAACAAACCAACTGTAGTAAAGTATGGAAGTTATAATTGTGATAGTGTTTAGGGTCATTTGTGCAGATGAGAGTATTGGTTCGGTCCATCATCTATGATCTGTCAGACCAAAATCCAGACCCATGTTCGACATCTGTATATGCTGGTGTTCATTTCAGCTTGGAATCCCTTATCAAGAGGTTTTGTGTAAGAACCGATATGTCGGGAGGACGTTTATTCAACCTAGCATGCGTCTACGACAGCTTGGGGTCGCCAAGAAGTTCGGACCTATCACTGACAACTTTAAGGACAAGAAAATAGTGCTACTGGATGATTCCATTGTTCGAGGAAACACAATGAGAGCCATTGTCAGATTACTGAAGGCTTCTGGGGCCAAAGAGGTGATTATTTATCATTGACCCCCTAAATACTATGACTCCCACTATCAAAATGCAATGATAAAACTCCATATTTGCTTCATCTCACCTAAATAGACTTGTTGCTCACCAATAAACTATGTACACATCTTACATAAAACTAGTTTGATAAGAGTAATTGTTTGTCAGTGAACAGAAGAGTAGTTTAGAGTTGTGGCCCTTAGGTGGGAAAGAATCTGTAATCGTGGGTTTAAGTCCCCGTTTTCTCCGATAATGATTCTTATTTGTTCAGCTCCATACCGTTGCTTGTTGACTTATCAAATATTAAACAGCCAAGACTGGCTTCTTCTGACAATGAGATACCCAAAATGATTGAACAGTTTAAAACTTCAAATCGACTTTTAACCAAATTCACTCACTAACTCGTATCACTTTTCATTTATCATTCCACCCCACTTGGCATGTAGAGCCCAAATTGCGTCATGTTTATCTCAAAGTTTACTTTTTGATAAGAATTTAAAATGCAAGATAACGTCTACCAACAACTACCTACAAGTGATGTCATATATATGCAGGTACATATCCGAGTTGCCTCTCCCCCCATCAAGTACCCCTGCTACATGGGGATCAACATCCCAACGAAGGAGGAACTGGTCGCAAACCAGATGCCGATGGAAAAGATTGCCGATTACTTTGGTGAGTAAGAAATTTGGTGGTCAAAAGCTGGCAACATGAGGAACACTTGACTTCACTTTGTCAACCAACATTGAACAAACTCAGAAGCCTTTGTAGATATATTTCAACATATGAGTGAAGAAAATCAACTATTGACACTATTTTCTGGAGTGTATGTTACAAGAACAGAAATACCGCTTATGTAGCATGACATCTGATTTTTTTATTGATTCAATCACTTTCTTGCATCTTCATAACTTGTTTTAAATTTTCATCCATTCTAAACTGTATACATGTAAGATGGATTTCTATAGTAAAATGCTTGCGTGCCCTTATTGTGAATAGTTCCTCTTGATGTCAGTCACTGACTTGCCTGGTCCAGCCCGTCTATTTTCTAACCATCCTGATGTGGCAGTAATGCTGCTTCACTCACTCACACAATTAACCCTTATGTTCCAGGTGCTGATAGTTTACACTACTTGACAGTTGAAGGGTTACAGAGGGCTGTAGAAGAAGGCATTAAGTCCGGCCAGGAACACGGTCACTGTACTGCATGTCTCACAGGGAACTACCCTACCAAGTTGGACTGGTGACGTTGTAAACTGTAAGCCAGAAGGTTTAAATGATACGGTGAAAGATGAACACCACAAAGGGTATACTCATCCATATTGGTGCTCAGTTATATATAGCTTTATAGAGCCAATTGTTGAGGAGTCCATGGACCTAACTCTTACAGTGAATTGTTTTGCTCAACTTTATTGGTGTACACTTCCAAATTTCTGTTAACCATTACTAACATTTAATAGGGCTGAGGTCAGTGCTTTCATTCACTAAAGACTGGGATTCCACGTTGGGTAGAGATCTCACTGACCTGGTTGATGGCATGTCATGTTGACATGGAGTTTTGCTCATTATATTAATCACTAGTTTCTCTGATCCATTTGTATTCTGTCAACCAAACTCCATTGTTAACCATTCATACGGCTGAACTTCGAGTTACTTTGACGATCATGGTCAATGCTTTCATTCACTAATGGTGGGGAATATATGTTAGAGCAGGGCCCCGTTTCACAAAGTACCTTCTATACTGTAACATAGACTTACAACAGTCGAAGCACTACGATAGCTTTGTGAAACGGGGACCAGGTCCCCAGCAATGCCTGCTTATAGTATGACTTGGTTGGTCAATCTCAGTCACCTGATTGATGGCATGTCAGCTCACCTCAACATAGATCTTTGCTCATTTTATGATCACTAGTTTGTCTGATCCATTTGTTTGGAGACCTCGTTTATAAGGGACCCTGTGATTGTATATTCCAGGTTAAAAGTATAGTTTCTTTGTGGAAGTGAAAATGAAATGTTTCAGGTGGTCAGGCCACGTAGCCTAATTAATGTCTTGTCATTGCAATCTGACAGCATATGAAAATACTCATAGTATCAATCACTGGTTTGTCTGGTCCGAGACTTGATTTACAGGTTGCTGTAATTTAGTTGGATTATTGTCGAGTGGGGCATTAACAACAATGCTTAAAGAAGCAGAGTGGTGTACATGCTTACTTGTCATGTGTAAGTTCTCAATTTCCGTGTTAGAAATATTTCTGCAAGATTTCATCATGAAACACGGATACAGTCTGTAGCTTTCATATCCTTTGTTATTTATTACATACATTAGTTCTCTCAAAGAGAAATACTCTGCTTAAATTGTCAGTGTATTGTACCAGATGGAGATGCATTTTCTATAATGGCAAAATTGTTAATGTTTTTATGACTGTGGTAGTGGTTGTGTTTCCACATTAACCGTTACAATTTCTTATAATTATGACAATATTCAACATTGTACAGATGGTATTGGTGACCCTACTTACTGCATAGAGTTGTGCCCCTTGGGATCTGCTGTTCATATCTTGAGGATCTTAATGTAAGTTTTGGTCCTTGGTTTCAAACACCCTCCTGTGTCAGTAACATACAGGATTTTGTACCCACCTGAACCTGATACGACCTGGTATATCAAGGTATTGTTTGTATTGTTGAACATGGAATATATTCTTCAAGCATAATATTTATCTTGTATTGATCTTAATGAAATACTTCTATTCACTAATGAGCCTAGGTAGGTGTTCAGTTTCTGGTTTTCATTAATGGAGAAGTGGCAATAATTTGCTCAAAGATTTGCATTAAATCTTCTTTTTACCTACTCACTCATTCATTCATGGGCCTGTCCTGTTTAAATATTACTGGCCAACGACATTCTGATAAATACCTATATATTCACTCATTCATTCATGAGCCTGTCCTGTTTAAATATTACTGGCCAATGACATTCTGATTAATACCTATATATTCACTCACTCATTCATGGGCCTGTCCTATTTAAATATTACTGGCGAATGACATTCTGATTAATACCTATATATTCACTCACTCATTCATGGGCCTGTCTTATTTAAATATTACTGACCAATGATATTCTGATGATGACCTATATATTTACTCACTCACTCATTCATGGGCCTGTGCTATTTAAATATTACTGGCCAATGACATGGTGATAATTACCTATACATGTATATCCACTACAGATGTATACAAAATAATTTACCAAACTGTCATGGCAAGACATTTCGCTCATATCTCTGGTCTCTACAATTCAGATTCCTTACTGCGAAATAACGTCATGTACTGATACTCTCAGTTAATGTGTTCTTTAACTTCTTTTGAGAAATTCGTTACCCTGGTAACATGTTGTCGGGAGCTCTTGTGGTGATAAGGCAACAAAAAACAAACACTTCACATTTCATTCTCCATTTCTGGTCAAATTATTGTAAAGTATATATACATGGCAAACAAAATAATTCATTTAAGGCATCAGTATGTATGGTTCCACTCAGAGGGTACATCTCCCCTCCAATAAGCCATCAACTTACAAGGTACACGTAATACACCTGATAATACTGTTATTATTGGCAGTTATCGTACTGCTTTCACACGTTATAGTGTGTTAAACATCTATGTTTGTACATAGTTTATTACATTTATTATGTATCACATATGTATCGATCAAGTTCAAGTTGTTATTCAACTGATGTCTTGTACCTTGGTTGTAGAAGTCCTGCCTGTACATATTAACAACTTCATGATTGTCTTAGATTAGGTTTTTGTGTAAGATGCCTTTAATAAACTAAAGGCATTTGTGGATATATTTTTTTCAATAAAAACTTAAAGCTGCAGTGTTTTCTTGTATTGACCTTTTTCAATCACAAAAAAATGTCATCGTGAGGTGGTCATTACGGTCTGCCAGGTATGACTAGCAGCCATAAAATTTCTGAATCACGTGCTGGGATTCAAAAGACAGACCTTCTGATCCAAAGTCGGATGTCTTGTCCACATAAAGAAGTCAACCCCAAGGATGTAATCTTTGGGATGACTCCACGCCTTGCTTCATGACAACGCTCCCAGTTCTGATGACAATGCCTGCCAGGTGTGACATTTGCTGCTGAGGATGACAATGGCTGCTAGGTAGGACAATAGCTGCTAGGTATGACAGTTGAGGATGACAATAGCTGCCAAATAAAACGGCTGCTGAGGGAAATGACAATAGCTGCCAGGTATTACAAGTGAGGATGACAATGGCTGCCAAATAGTAAAATGGCTGCTAATGACAACTGTCAGGACAATGGCATATGATACTGTCAAAACTTTATGTCATAAAAGTTCTTACAAAAACCCAAGTTCTGAAAGCATGATGCACACGTAAAATCTCCAAATCAGCATGAGGCGTCTCAAAGTCTGACTTCTGCAGTTTCTTCTATAGGATTACAGTCTCCATCACTGAGATGTAACCGTATTACCGTATTTATCATAATTAGCGTAAGTGTCCCCTGACTAAATTGTAGATCAATCTGTATGTAATCTTTATAACCAATTCCCCTACTACAACTGAAATTACAAGACAGTCTTTTCTTGTAAATGTTAAATATTTTACACAGAAAATTACAGCACTGAAACAGTATGTAACTGCCCAATAACCTATTGAATTTTTTTTTTCAAAAGAGCTCGATCTCTAAAACCAAAAGCATCACCCTTTGTCAATTTCTTTTAAAGCCATGGGCTGTTATTACAGCAAATACAGTAGCTGTCAAGCGCATTGTATTAACTCTGAGCCATGATATGCTCGATGTCCTCAGCAGTCTTAGGACAACCTTGTGACAGGACTACAGGTGCCCCTTCCGTTACCAGGACGTCGTCTTCAATACGAATCCCCATACCCTGAAATTCAGCTGGCGCAGTTGGGTGGGATTCTGGGATGTAGATCCCTGGAAACAAACATCACATTTTAAGCAGGAAGGTGATGAACATCCAAAATTGTGATATTCCAGTTACAGCGTTTTCTACATCTAATATGTTAATTTGCGTACGTGTTTAAGTATTCAGTGGCTTCATATCAGAAAAGTTAGGTGATGTCTTCAAGAAGACTGACAGATACATTGTTGGCAAATACACAAATGTTTATTGCTTGTTTGAAATAAAAAATATTTGAAACAGCGCCACGGCATTGAAGCTCAGCTGAAGAGGACAAATCCCTCCAGCCCCCACAAATCCAAAAGAGCAAATCGTCTGACTGTAATCTTAAAGGTAAGAGAATTTCTATCTAACCTTTCTGTCTGAATTATTGAATTATTATCAGTAGTTATTGAAACAATACCAAGGAACATACCATGGTGCATACCAACATGAATCAAACAAAGTCAACTTTGTTGCTTTGAAAAAACAAACAAATTCTAAAAATTCCTCAAAGGCAAAAAGAAACTAGTTTGTGTGAACACGGTTTTAAAAAAAGAGCAAGTATGTATCATAGAGATACGGTCCGGACAAACACACCACTTCAAGCAAAGTCGATCTTGTTGCCAGGGAAACAGGAAAAACTTAATAAAATGTAAATTCCGAAATAGCAAATAGCACCACTTCAAAATCTGCATTGAAATCCACCACTTAAAGAGACTAAGTACAAATTATTTCCATGGAAGTCGGGAAAGATTATAAATGGCCAAAAATCTGTAAATAGCAAAAGGCACAACTTTAGGATCTGTTTGAAATATGTGCCATTTTTTTGGAAATCAGTAATGATTTAAATGACTTCAACATGAGGAGAAAACATTAGCAGAGCCAGGTGTGCCTTTTGAGAGAACTTCAGAGCATGGAAAAAACAAGTGAGTTTAGTTTTACCCTGCTTTCAGCAATATTCCAGCAATATCACAGCAGGTGACACCAAAAATGGGCTTCAAACACCCATGTGGGGAATCGAACGCGGATCTTTGGCGTAACGAGCGAATGGTTTACCCCACTGCCGCTGGTCAAAACAAGTTCAGTATGGTAACATTCTGCTTAAAGCAATATTCCAGTGATGTCACAAAATGAAATGGGCTTCGCCACAGCCACATGAAGCAGAGTAATATTCACTCAGGTAAGTTTGGAACCCTACCCAGAATCCCTTTTGGTAAGGTATGAGAACATGTCTAACTGTAGAACAACTGCTATTCTCACCTGGCTCAATTGTAACAATCATCCCTGGACTTAGTTTTATGCCTCTTGAGATTTCTGAAGTATCATGGACGTCCATTCCCAGATAGTGGCTCACATGATGGGGACAAAACTCCCGTGTTTTCTGAAACAAAAGTACAAAGGCTGTAGAATGCAGCATGAAGTGTTATGCCGCAGTGTTATGCCGCTTACAGCAATATTATATCTATATCGTTTGCTCATTTGTTTGTTGTTTAGCAAACAGCAATATTCCAGCTATATGTCAGCGGCCCGAAAAATATTGATTCAGAACCATCCAATCCAGTGATCAACAGCATGATCATCGATCTACATAATTATGATACAATGACATGCCAATAAGTCAGCGCGCTTGACCACCCAATCCTGTTACTTACCTCTTATGACAAGACTAATTCTTAACCCGCATCATCACAGGTCCAATATATAATATCAGGCTGGGGACTTCAACTTGTGTCTTCATAACCGAAGACTCTTAACTGCTAGGCACCCTCACTGCCCACTTCACTTGACAAACCTGCATTAGCTTGACTTCCTTGATGTCTGCTGGGAGGATATCCAGGAGCTGCAACTGTTTCCCCAGCAACTTCAACATCACCTTGTAGATGTCGTCCAGGGAGTGGGCCAAAGTGCACAGCTCCACACACTGCTCTTGGACAGTCAACACTGCATCATACAGCTGTCGCTGTGAGGAGCTGAACCTCCCTGGAGAATAGGAGGAGTGAGTGATTACGATTTTATGCCACTTTTAGGAATATTCAACAATCTCATGATGGGGACACCAAAAATAGGCTTCACACATTGTACCTATGTGGGGAATCAAACCTGGGTCTTCGGCATGACGAGTGAACACTTTAACCACTAGGCTACCCCACTGCCCTAGAGAATAGAGTGTGTTCTTTTATGCCACTGCAATGTGAGAGTGGGGGGCACCAGAAATGGGAAGTGAACACAGAACAAGTGAAAAGTTTGAATCAATGAGCATAGTTTTATGCCAGTTTTAGCAATATTAACAGGTTGATACATTATACCCATGTAGGGTATCAAACATGTGCTGATGGCATCACAAGCTAACTCCTCCTCCAGCATGTTATCCATCTGGCCTCCTTGGAGTAGAAAGGCACTGAATTGCTTACATACATAAGTGAGTGGATATAATATATGCACTGTAGGAAACATAGTGCAGAACTACTCCATGATTGTTGTGAGATCTGACTGATGAGAATTGGTCAAGCGGTGACAAGGCTCATCATAAGTCCTGACATTTTGGATTCACTCATGCTATCAGCCACAAGTTGCCTGAAGCACACTTTAATATTGCTTGAATGGGATCTGAGAAAAGACACACTCCCTGCTGGGAATACTGTAACCTGAGGCTCATTTGCAGGTTATTACATGCTCACATGTTGGTTATTACAGTATTAATACTATTACCTGAGACCGGCCATGTGCGAGTGATGTCACTTGTGTAACCGTGGAACTCGCACCCTGCATCCATGAGAACTAACTCTCCATCACGGACAATCTGGTTGTTGTTGATGTAATGGATAGTGTTGGCACGATTACCACCTGCATGAAGAATTAAAATATCACTGACATTCATATAAATGTGAGTATAGTTTTATGCCAATGCTAGCAACATTCCAGAAATACCACAGCTGGCGAGGACACGAGAAACGGGGCCTCACAGTTGTTATCAATGCGGAAAATTGACTCTGGCATAACAAGTAACATTCTACCTTACTGACTCTATGCATGAAAGTAATTGTGAGTGTGCATGGCTTTACATCGCTTTTATCAATATTCCAGCAATGTCATCAGCCTGACAAGCGGACGTTTTAAGCATTAGGCTATACCATCGCCCCTGAAAGTAACAGAAAAAAGGTGTTACTGGGGAGCTTCCATACCTGCAACCACTGGTGGGTACGCCAGGAACTCAGCATCACGTATGCGACACTCAAAGTCCATCTTTGCATACAGATGAGCTTCCTTGACCTGATGATAAAGGTTATCAAAAATTACATCATCACTTTTCTTAGTTGAACCAAAACATGACACATTTCAATATATTTTTTAAAATGTACATTATATATGTAAGCATAATTTGGTGACTGGTCATTTATCAATCATTATGGAGAGATGAGGATTCTTGAAAACATATTACATATAAAGGAGTTTGTGGGGGTCTGCACAATATCATACAGTTCCAAGATCAATTAAAAAATTACCTCTGGACGTGAAAATTTCATGACTTCTATGAAAGACTGTGAAGCTATTTCTACACTTTGTTTCATCAGCTCAATTTCAGGTGGGGATTTAATCAACCTCAGCTGATTACAAATTCCAACTGTGTTTTCGATACATTTATGACGGTTTTCCTTCATGAACTGGCTCAACACTTGGATATCATGCTCCATGTGAGTTGGTTTGGAATAATTGTACCACAAAACATAATTGTTAAATTTTCCACAGTAATCACTGAGGTACTCCTCCAGACAGTCAATGTTCAACGTTTTGTCAACCCCTGTTAAGGTCAAGGCTCCTTCTCTTCCTGATCTGGGTCCATCCCATAATTCTTTCGAAGGGTCTTTTTTCGGCACAAAGAGAACTGACAGATAATCACTAATGGATGACTTCTCTTGATTTGTATTCAAAATTAAAACACTGTCTGGTTCCTGAAATCCACACAGATACAAGAATTCTGTATTTTGTCGGAAAGGATATGGTATGTCATAGGTCATAAATGTCTTTGCTGATGCTGGGAATATCAAAATGTGATCTTTCACATTTTCCACATCCTTGAAAGCGCTGCATGCTAGTTTGACTAAATTATCCCTTCTAGTTTGATATTCACATTTTGAAATTCCTGGTGTTACCTCCCCTTGTTTCACCAGGTGAGGATGAGTCTGAGCAGCGGGCTGACCGAAGGAATTTGACAGGATTACAATCGGAAATCGGAATTGTTTTATCTGAAGAAGTTTAGGTAACCTGTTGGTGATTTGGTGATGTCCTGAAAATACTGAAAACAAATCATAAAAATTAACATGGATTAATGATCCATAATATAGACATCAAGGGACATGCACAACTTATCAAGCTCACCATGTTCAATCAAATTTACCAGAGAAATGATTAAACAGCATCTATATCTGCTGAGGCATCTTTATCATGGATGTCCTAACAAAGGATGTATCAGGCCATTATACTCAGAAGAAGAGTATCACTGGTGGTACCATATGTGCCATGTTTTTCAGAGAAAATTCTCACTAGATATGTCTATTGGTTATAACATCGCAAACATATTTGAATTATTAACTCATTTGGTTTTGCCAAATCAATACTGATGAGACTGGCAATTCCATGTCATATACTGATCTGTTCAATAAATATATGTAAATTTGTGAAGTTAAGAAGCAGGAAAGGATGCTGGTGATTCTGATTGTGTAATGACTCTAATTACAGATAAAAAAAATTAATTTTTTTATGTGATATCGCATAACTTAACCAAGGAATATCAAAGCGCAAATTATATATTAGTAACATAAGTAAAATATACTGATATTGACAAGTTAGAGACTTTGAATGGCATTTAGAAGTGATACACATAAATTCAAGAATTTTATAGATGTCAACTTCTTTGTTGTGATGGACACAAAGCTTTGTAGGGTAAGAGTTCCGCCCGTAACCCCCGGGTTATTTCGAGGGTTTAGGGTTAGGTTTGTGGTTAGATTTTAGGGTTAGGTTTAGGGTTGGGTATAGGTTGTTTATAAAAAGACACAGGCGTATATTCTTTGGCACATAATGATTAAAAAATATACGGGGGTTACGGGCGGAAATCTTTCCTAAATGAAGAAAGTATATCAGTCAACAGTCTTGTTAACAGCTATTTACAACATAAGCTGCATTTTTGCACATACATCGACTGCAGCTAAGATTCCACATATCTGAAGTTCGCGTTTTAACTCAAGGACAAATTAAACGCAGAGTTCCCTCCCTTAGAGCACCTGTTTTCACCCTTAGCCCAAACAAAAAACGACTTTTGATAATTTCTTTGAAAAACACAAGAAACAAGAAATTATATAATCCATACACGTATTGATTACAATGATATTGTATCGACCTGATTCTCCAAGATAAATATTTTGTTAGTCACTTAACTAATCATTAGTGGTTGATGTAAGCGACATCTACTAATTCGGTCAAGGACTGTAACCAAGCCTAGAAATTTCGGCGTGGTCCATGCGTAGACTTCCACGGTAAGTACATACAGTTTAATGTCTCAACCATGGCACCATGGATGGCAGATAGTTGTGCATTGACATTCTGTGCAGTGAAATGTGAATACGATGATGACATGTACATATTTCGAAAATTGTGATTTGTTCAAACGTGTCCGTTTTGAAACTAACACGCTTAACTTGATATTCAAGTATCGCACAGGGACAACATGTTTGACCTACTCTGTGCTTTGCCAGGTATTTTGTCATACTTTGTACGGGTTGTTAAGTCAAGTGGCAATATCAGTCAAACCATATTGCATTGCTGGTGGCGTACTAGCTTTGTTTAGTTGGCCTATGCAGAATGTAATACTTCCATTTGTATTTTTTTTATCTCATCAGGCAGAAGAGCTACAGATAAGCTAATGCAAAGATAGAAGACGAAATTATATACGAAAAGGACAACAACTCGCTGCTCCATCTTAAATGCATCCATTGATAAACAGAATAAACTGTTTTGAATTTTGTATTCTAGATTTTAGCTCAAATGTCTAAAGGACATTTGATTCAGATATCGCTCAATAAAAAGTGATTTGATATTTTACCAGTCACTGTCTCCGGGTACTTCTAAATGAGATAAAATGGTGTTTGTGCAAAGGGCCTGTGGTTCAATACATGGCATCTTAATAGAGTAAAAAAATCTATAAGGCCTCAAGGTAGCCATCTTGTAAATTGTTCAAAAGTACCCTTTTCTCCGTATCAGCATTATGGTTGACTCCTAATAAAACCAAAGTACTGATAACATAATTTTTATAGAGAACTTAATGTTCAAGACTGTTCAAAATGGATTTTGTTTGAAATAAATGCCGTCTTTAAAATTCTACTTGATATTGGTTAAATACATCTGCAAGTCAACACAATCCAAGTTTCCGCCCAAATCATAATGTGATACCACCCGCTATACATTTTCTTTGTTATTAAGGATTGGTTGATTGATTGTTTAAAGCCGCATTCAGCAATATTCCAGTTATATGGCAGCGGTCTGTAAATAATCGAGTGTGGACCATGCAATCCAGTGGTCAACAGCATGAGCATCGATCTACGCAATTGGGATACAATGACATGTGTTAATCAAGTCAGCGAGCCTGACCACCCAATCCTGTTAGTCGCCTTTTACAACAAGCATGTGTTGCTGAGGACCAATTCTGACCTACACGGGTCTGTTATTAGGAAGCGTGACCATCAAGCTCAACATTTACTGTAAACGTATTATATATCGCGCAGGTTTTATTTTCGCACAAAATATTTTACCGTGAAAATGTATACACAGTGAATAAACCTTTCATTCATTCGCCTCTGAGTTGTTACCATAACACATCAAGTTTGAAGACAGAGATCTACGGGAATTTTAAAATGATGACTGATAGTAGCTTAATGAATCATACTTAACTGTCGCTGTAATGGATTTCCCAAATCATGTCCCGACATGTATTTTGACCAATCGTAGTGACATGGTTTGATACCATCGTCAGAATTCGAACTCGGAACATAAGACTGATGTGTTTTTCATCTTTTTATAATAGTATACTAGTACAATTACGATATCTCACTTCCTAAGTACTTAATACTTCCGTGAGTAAACATATTACTATATATATCGCGCAGGTAGGGATTTCCTGTGAGTAAGCAAAACACACCACCTGACAGGTTAAGCTACTCTGGTTGTTTTCATTGCTATTAGTGGTGGCTTTTGAGACAGCTGGCAGTTCCGGCAATTACTGATTACGCGGTGTAGTCTAAACTGTCAATTCCACGATATTTGCACCAAGCTAAAAAAAAAGTGCAGTTACAGTATTTAATATCATTTACATATTTTTAGCTCACCTGACGAAAAAGTCAAGTGATGCACAAGCTTTTATTGCAATAGAGATTTTGATTATCAGTTGGAAAGACTTGACTGGTCTCCACCATTTTGTGTGAAGGAAATGCAAGCAGTGTGATAGGTGGAATCTGATTGGTCAGTAGAAGGGACACAAACTGGACGTAACTTAAAATAGGGCCAATAAAAAAAAAATGTGGGTTCCGGTTACACCTCTTTAAAGTTTAGGGTAGGTAGGTAGTATTTAAAAAAAAAATTTTTTACATATTTTTCTAGAAGTAAAGCACAAACTAATAACACATTTATCAATGTGTAATTGTTTATTCAATCAAGCTTGCGGCCATCATATCAACTTTCTCTATCAGAATGACCGATGTCTGTCGGTGCTGGGGAAAAAGCAATGGTATCGGAAGGCTTATTTTATTCATTCTGCTAAAAAAAATAGGGTCGGTCAGGTAATCAGAACCACAACATTTTTTTTTTAGGCCTAGCCACAAGTGGCCAAACTCTCCAGCCACAAAATTCCAGTATACTTTTTGCAAGAGTGGAAATGGGACTTTAACAGTTAACTCCCTTGCAGTGGGAAGTGGTTACCACCAGTGATGCCTAGATTTTGTTCACAAGGTTCAAATCCATTTTTTCAATTTTGCTGCCATGACGGACATCATGGACACATGTAATGACATTTTTTTTCCAGATAATCATTACGATGAAATTTGGTATAAGTAATTTAAAAAGTAGGCGTCAGTGTTCATTTTCAAAACAGTTTTGACATGGTTTTAATTCCCATCAGTATTTAGTTTGGGTTCTGTTTGGATTTGGTTAATTTCATGTTATTGCAAAGCGTTAAGAAAGACATTTTAATCCTTAGCTTTAGTAATTTAACGTTATTACATTGTATAGTCCGTTTGGCTCAAAAGCGGACCTATGAATTGCAATCTAACTCAAAAACTAATAAACATATAATACTCAATGAAACGCTGATCATAATCAAAACATCACACAAACTCTGTGATTTGTTTGCAGAATTTATGTCCTAAAATTAAAAAAGTTGTTTAACAAACTATCATTAAAATATTGACACATTTCACTATTTGTTACGAGGGAGGAGTGCAGAGAAAGGGACAGCCAGAAGTTAGAGAAGCACGTGCACAAGTGCCGACAAAGTTATTGATTCGTGAACCTGTACTGTACCGTCTCCATCCTTTTTCGCACACCTGGCTGTCCCTTTCTTTCCACTCCTCCCTCGTAACAAATAGTGAACTGTGTTCATATTTTAATGATAGTTTGTTAAACAACTTTTTTATTTTTAGGACATAAATTCTGCAGAAACCTCACAGAGTTGGTGTGATGTTTTGATTACAAAATCGTCACATAAAGGTTTTAGTTTTGTTTTCAAATTCTCCTTTGCGTGCAATGAAGTGTTTATGCATAAAATATTTGAATATCAATGGTGACTGCAACTTTTGGTAAGTTTCTGCTTTTGATGGCCTTTTATGGTATGAACTTTATATACATTTATACTAAGAACTATATATACAGGTGAGCTACAGTCCCTGGGGCTATTACATTAACTTCCCTACCAACCATTAACAACTAGTGTGAAATGACTATTATTGCCCCTGCCGCAATGCGGAACGGGGGACTATGTATTCAGCGGCGTCTGTCTGTATGTCCCGATTCTCAATATCTCATGAACTGTTGTACCCAATGTCTTCAAATTTGGTGACGGACTACATTGGGGGATTACGCAGACACCAGTCGATTGGGGTGACCTTGACCTTATTTCCAAGGTCACCACGCCACTTTGAACACTTTACAAACTCTTGTTAACATGATATCTCATGCACTGTTGTACCCAATATCTTCAAATTTGGTGACAGTCTACATTGGGGGATTACACAGACACCAGTCGATTGGGGTGACCTTCACCTTATTTTCAAGGTCACCAAGACACTTTGAACACTTTACAAACTCTTGTTAAGGCGATATCTCATGAACTGTTGTACCCAATATCTTCAAATTTGGTGACAGCCACCTGTTGTTTTTGAAACAAGGTATGGTTGATACTAACTTATGTTATTTTTCAGGTAGTTACCAAAATGACGATGCCAGCAGACCAGGTTAAACTCCTGCGGGAGTTCACACAGTTGTGCAAAGTTAACTCCGACATCCTCCATTTACCGGAACTAGCTTTCTACAGAGACTGGCTTTCAAGGTACATAGTCACACAGTTTCCAATAGTGTTGGGAATTGGTTGAAATCTCACAATTGATGATTGCTTCATTACCAACGAACAATCATCGAAAAAAATTGGTTAGCGTCATTTTTCAGATTTTCCTATCCAGGTTGTTATTGCAGATATGTATAACATGATTGCAACTTGCTACTTTAAAGTGATGACTAATATATCATGAACATAAACTTCCTTGAGTCTTAGAGAAACATTCAGTCATGGCTTTTCAGTTAGTGAAGTGAGTTTTCTAAGAATTAAACACGTTTTCAGGCCCTGACAACTTCTAAGATATGTTCCATTGTCAAGTTTTTCAAAGACTTAAACAGTAGTTCCAAAATCGTTTATGTTCGATTATGAGAAATTGTGATCGATTGCTTGGTCGTTTGGTCACTGCGACCAATCTTGGATTATTTCATTTAATCGGAACACCACTAGTTTCCAAATAATCGCATTGAGAAAGCTTCATGATTATGAAGATGTTGTGTCATACTCAAATGCCCTTCAATATGAAAATTGTCAATACTATAATATAGAACACAGGGATGGAAATGCAATTTTTTAGAAGGGTGCCTTGGGGCACAAGACAGATAAATTAGTTATACCTTTGTGAAATTAGTGTGCCCATCCCTTTTGGTGATCAAGACTTGAATCGTCCTAGCAACTGTGTTATGTCTACTTGTTTAATACTTCAGTAAACATCATGTAACCCTGTAGACTTGAGAGCAGGATTTCCTGAACAGTATCAAGACTGCAAGAATAGTTCAGCTTCATTCGTCACGGACCCTGAAACTAACCCACAAACAATGTTATCATTCAAAACAGGATTTCCTGTCATGGGCTCTGAAATTCAAAATGGCCATGCCCATGTTAAGCTGTGAGATTGAGTGTACCCAAAAAATATTTTCATGGGGTGCAAAAATTGGTTTTCAATCATTTGAATTGGTCACATTTATTGCATTCAGAAATGAATCACTTATTTGCATAAGTTTAGGTGTGCTGCCAAGGCACTGTAAAAATATTTCATTCGTGCCATTTTAATTTTTACCATGCCATGGCATACACATCAAGCACAGAGGGCGGTTGGGTAGCCTAGTGGTTAAAGCATTCGCTTGTCACATGGGTACAATGTGTGAAGCCCACTTCTGGTGTCCCCCGCCATGATATTGCTTGAATATTGCTAAAAACGGCGTTAACAAAACTCACTCACTCAAATCAAGCACTATTTCGATCACTGGAACACATAGTCCAGGTAAAACTTAGTCAATAGTAATAGCTGAATGAGCACTGACAAGCCATGGCACTTGTTTATATTCATGGTCTACATAATATGTAACAGTAACCCACTTTCACAGAAACGACAATGTTGTTTTGTTGACAAAATCAGTCTGTCAGTGCTAATATTAGGATGCAGATAACATAAATATTAAAGTCTGCTTCAGTAAAACAAGTGGTTGACAGTGTGAGCAACTACCCTATCATCACTATTTGGTTCTTAGATAAGTAGTATAATTTTATGTCGATCGCCCCAGTGGTGTAGGTGGTTGGAGCATCCGCCCAGAGAGCTGGTTCGATCCCTGACTGCGTCATACCAAAAGATGTTAAAATATGGTACTTGTTGGTCCCTGCCTGGCGCTCGGAATTAATGTGTACAACAAGGACTGGTCGGCTCGGAGCCTGTATAATGTGCCTGAGTGGGGTATTCATGCTTCACTGCGGCATGGTATCTCAGTGGGCTAGCACTATAAAACCAGCTTCAGTCTGGGCTAGTACAAGCAGCCGCACCTGCACATACACACGCATGCACGTCGTCATATGAGCGAAATATTCTCCAGTGCAACATTGAACCCAATTTCACCTTGCCTATTTTATGTTGCTTGTAGTTTCTCTCACAATCCTTGAATCCTATTTTATCCCTTCCTCTATGAAGCTATTGACTTAATGAAGCAAGACCTACTATTTGTCCTTATCCTGACTCATGATTATTGCTTATCTCCCTTCTCCTTCGACGGTCAAGTGGAAACCTTGAATCCTATTCAAATTCACTGAAGCGTCTGTACAATCACTCACCTCGAGTTACCTCCTTTATTCCCGTCAAAACTGGTCCCACGTGACCTGAGACTAGCTCTTATCACTCTCTCCTTCATCGCCCTCGCCGACGGTCAGGCGGTCCTTACGGGTCCTATTTGCGGCAGATATCCTTTCATTTCGGCCTTATATCTTAAATTGTGGCCGCAGATTGTATTTAGATCCATATTAGTTGTATCCATATGTATATTATTATGTAAAATTCTACTAAAGTGACATATTTTCACTTCGTTGCAGGTGAGGTGTTGTTCAATGGTGGCATGTCAGCAATGCAGGTTGGGGCTATCTGCGTTCAATCCACATCCTGTTTGCTCCTCTTGTTGCCTTCATACTTGTTCTTTTGATTCACGGTGCCAATATTGCATTAATTTATCAACACAATTATTTACTAAATATTTATCAGCCTGCTTACGCAGGACTATAGATAAACAACATTGTGTAAACAAGTCAGCGGTAAGGGGTAGTTCTCTTACAACTGGTACTAAAATGTCACAACACAATAAGGAGAATTTCCCAGGGATTTCTCCCATTTCTGTCATGCTTTCAGCAACAGCTACGCAGTCTACTTCCAAGAGAAATTCACCTCCGACAGAGAAGACTGAAGAAACGATCGTCCTAGATTGTCTGCAAAATCTACAACTATGAGATCTACATTGTCTATATCTACTAGATCATCAGATACACCTATGACATTTGAGAATGCCATATCTGACTATAAAACCAGCTTCATCCTGGGCTAGTACAAGCATCCGCACCTACACATACACACGCATGCACGCTCGTCATATGAGCGAAATATTCTCCAGTGCAACATTGAACCCAATTTCACCTTGCCTATTTTATGTTGCTTGTAGTTTCTCTCACAATCCTTGAATAATATTTTATCCCTTCCTCTATGAAGCTATTGACTTAATGAAGCAAGACCTACTATTTGTCCTTATCCTGACTCATGATTATTGCTTATCTCCCTTCTCCTTCGACGGTCAAGTGGAAACCTTGAATCCTATTCAAATTCACTGAAGCGTCCCATACAATCACATATTTACCTCCCCTTATTCCTCACTTCAAACCGGGTCCCACGTGACCTGAGACTAGCTCTTATCACTCTCTCCTTCATCATCCTCGCCGACGGTCGGGCGGTCCTTACGGGTCCTATTTGCGGCAGATATCCTTTCATTTCGGTCTTATATCTTAAATTGTGGCGCGAGATTGTATTTAGATCCATATTAGTTGTATCCATATGTATATTATAATGTAAAATTCTACTGAAGTGACATATTTTCACTTCGTTGCAGGTAAGGTGTTGTTCAATGGTGGCATGTCAGCAATGCAGGTTGAGGCTATCTGTGTTCAATCCACATCCTGTTTGCTCCTCTTGTTGCCTTCATACTTGTTCTTTTGATTCACGGTGCCAATATTGCATTAATTTATCAACACAATTATTTACTAAATATTTATCAGCCTGCTTACGCAGGACTATAGATAAACAACATTGTGTAAACAAGTCAGCGGTAAGGGGTAGTTCTCTTACAACTGGTACTAAAATGTCACAACACAATAAGGAGAATTTCCCAGGGATTTCTCCCATTTCTGTCACGCTTTCAGCAACAGCTACGCAGTCTACTTCCAAGAGAAATTCACCTCCGACAGAGAAGACTGAAGAAACGATCGTCTAGATTGTCTGCAAAATCTACAACTACTGAGATCTACATCGTCTATATCTACTAGATCATCAGATACACCTATGACATTTGAGAATGCCATATCTCGACTCGACAGATCACCACCGGTTTTAGAACCGCAGATCATCTTGACTTCATCTCAGACTACATCTACTAGTAGTAGTACTCCTAGAGAGTTAGTGAACTCAGGTTCGCAACAACATACGTCAAAATCATCATCGTCGTCGAGGAAGAAACATTCATCCCAGCGTAGATCATCAAATACTACAGGGTTTTGCGAACCCTCCCAGCACATCATCAGGGGTTACAAACCCTTCTACGACATCAGGGTTCGCGAACCCTTCTACAGACAATCAGAATAGATCGTCTCAAACATCACAGACTACGTCTACTGATCATTTAACTTCTAAGAGAACTACCAAAAGCACGTCAAATCAGACAACTGTTGCACTACAAACAGAAAGAGATTTTTCATCAATCGGATGGAGGGTTCGTGCAGATGGAGGGTTCGCAAACCCTCAACAACAGAGAGTTTCAACGCATCAGCAGAGAGATATAAATCAACCTTTCGCGAACCTGACTGGTTCAACGAATACACCGGTAGATCAGGATTTTGTAGCCAGTATTACACGCCAAGTAGTTTGGGCTATGCAACAACGTTCATCATCAGATAATCAACAGACGATTACACAGGCTACAAATGAGAGTACTCAGGAGGAGACACCCACTTCAGAAACGAGTTTACAAGAATCGGGAGGAATCTACAATATATCCTGATGCAGAAGTATTATCTTGGATAACAGATGGGTTACCAATTGCTTCACCAACACACAACGAGAATTCATCAGAGACTTATCGTATTATAGATGAGAATCTTGAGACATTAACTATACCACCTATTAAACCTATCTCACAGGTTTCATCAGACCTCAAGTTAGCATTTGCGAATGCTACCAGACATCAAGGTCAACATACACCATCATTTAATGCAAGGAAATTTCCACTACATAGTATGGAACAATTCTTCAGGGCACCAGAGATTGACGACAACTATTATCTCATCAATGAATCTAAATCACACAACTACAAAGTAGAAGACAGGAAGCTGGCCAACTTAGCACGACAATTTAATAAGCATGAGCATTCTCTTTCTACTAGCCAGATCTAGAGCCATAAATGAGGTTCTAATCAACAACTTCCAGAATCCGACAACAGAAACAGAAAGGATGATATTGTCAGCGTTGGTCTTACAAAAGAAGGATCAGGAATTTATGTCTGATCATTTGGCATCAACATCAGCAGGACTAACCCTACTTCGTTGTCAAGGATTACTCGCATCTTGCAATTGGCCAGATTTTCATATTAAGGCTTCTACGACAACCATGGGCTGCGTCCACTTTATTTGATGGAAGTATAAGATCGACATCACGGGAAGTATGTCAGGACAACAGAGATCAGATGCTCATCAGATCTATGCAGACGATGAATAACATGTATCGACAATCGTCACGAAGAGGACAATTTCGTTCAAAGTTCCCAGGCATACAAAAGGCCAGAGAAAAGAGAGCTACCGGAGCTCGAGGAGGCAAAACAACTAATTTTCGTCGTCCATATGACAACTCAAGAGGATGATCCGAGAGGTTGCTCATCAGGATCCTCCCGTTCAACACACTAATGAAAATCAGTTTCGGACCGACTGGATCGTCCCTCCTCCAGTCGTTCCAGTGAAGCCCACATCAGTGGGGGGACATCTAGATCTGTACTGGAAAAATTGGGAAATACTACAAGACAACTTTGTGGTACAAGTCTTACGTGAAGGCTACAGAATTCAACTCAAGGCGAGACCACCTCTCACCATTATACCACAAATACATCATTATTCAGACCAACAATGTATCAAGCTATCAGACGCCATCAACTCACTACTGACAAAGAATGCAGTAGAGATTATAGAAGAAAACAGTCTCACACCAGGATTTTATTCCCCGATATTTCTAGTACCCAAAAAGAACTCCACAGAGAAGTTCCGTCTCATATACAATATGAAACGATTCAACCTAGACTTTCTACTGAAACCACAGAAGTTCAAGATGCTTCATCTACCTCAACTGAGACACTTAATAAGACCCAACGATTATCTAGCCAGCATAGATTTACAGGATGCGTACCTACACATCCCCATTCATCCAGAATCAAGGAAATACCTACGATTCCTATATCAAGGGAAGCACTATCAATGGAAAGTACTCCCCTTTGGAATTTCATTGCCTCGTGGCTATTTACACCAAACCAATTGTATGCTTCTACATCAGAGAAAGGTTTGCAATGCCTTTTATCTGGACGACGGCATTCAGGCACATCAGTCAGCAACTCAACTCAAACATCAGTTAGAATTGACAATTCAATTACTAACTCAACTAGGATGGTTAGTCAACAGGAGGAAATCAGAACTATATCCGTCCACAGGAATTACAATTCCTGGGAATCAGGTTTCTCACCAGAGAAAATCGAATTGTACTCCCACAGGTACGATGGGAGAATATACAGAAATGTCTACACAATCGCCTTGAACGATCCTCTTCTGATAAGAGAGTGGCAGAGATTATTGGGCCTCCTTATGTCAGCTCAATCCCTAACTTCGCAGAGGAAGGTTACAACTATGTCCCAGGGCTCCAGATAATTTTTGAACACCAGGAGTATGTACTCCATATTTTTCAATATAGGAGTACTCAAAACCTTAAGCCTACATTTAGAGTATTGAATGGAATTTAATGGCGCACCAGTAATCTTGTGTTTCGCTTCATATATGCACCACAACATTGCTTGTCTTGTGTAAACAGGTCAATAAACAATAAAACAACACTCTTTCAGATAAATACGCCTGTCAATGATTCTAAGACCGTTACCATTGCCGCAGCCCCACCGTATCGCGGCAAATTTTTATCCGTACATACTGGCCCTTATATGGAGCCCTGTGTCCAATTCAGCTTTCTTACCACATCTGAAAAATCTACAACCCATAAGCATTCCTCAACACTTGAAGGAATACCTAATGTGGTGGACAAACAAGTTGAACGTTTGCAACGGAACTTATTTGAAAGAGCCGGTATACAGACTACATCTGTATGTAGACGCATCCCTACAAGGATGGGGAGCGCACTTCAACGACAAAGTCGCCTCAGGAGTTTGGTCACCAATTGAAAAGAAATTACACATAAATCAACTAGAACTCAAGGCAGTTATAGAGGCAATTCAACATTGGGCGCATGTACTCAGGAATCAAGTTCTCATGATACACACAGACAACTTAACAGTAGCGTTTTATATAAACCTACAAGGATCAACAAAGTCAGCGCCTCTACTAAGACTAACATTTCAACTATTCAAGGTAGTAGACAACCTCAATCTGTGGATAAGAGCTTGTCACATTCCGGGAGCGAAAAACGTCCTAGCAGACGCCTTATCCAGACCGATGAGACCATCACCTACGGAATGGAAATTACACCCGGAAGCATTTCTACTGATAACGAGAGAACACGGTTGCCCTCTCATAGACCTCTTTGCAACACGATTCAATCATCAGATTGTAACGTTTGTCTCGCTAGTACCAGATCCACAAGCATGGGCGACAGACGCCCTCACCATATTATGAGAAGGTCTAAATGCGTACGCATTTCCTCCACCGATACTACTACCACAAGTTCTACACAAGATTGCTCAGACCAAAATCCTACAACTGATTTTGGTCGCTCCTTACTGGCCAGCGAGAACATGGTTTCCAGACCTAATAAGCTTATTAGGGGAGCCAATACTAAAACTTCCAGATTGGCCAAACCTACTGATTCATCCTCACACAAAACAACTGCACGGCAATCCAACAAATCTCAGACTCCACGTTTGGAGCGTATCACGCACTGTTTGAAGAAAAGGGGTTATTCCACGAGAGCTGCTAAGGCAGTTACACTGGCCTTAAGACATTCAACCCATAATCTGTATGATGATAAATGGAGGAATTTTGATCAATTTGCTACAAGCAAACGATTCACGGCAGCGGAAGCAACACATCTGCAAGTAGCAGAATATCTCTGCCATCTCATATCAACATTTGAAAGGATCAACACTTTCAACATTCTTAGCAGCAATAAGTTCGGTGATTACCATGAACTCGGGAGTTAAACTCACCAAAGTTCCTGAACTAGTAGCATTATTGAGATCGTTTAAACTAGAGGATCATCAACGGAAATTTAGAGCTCCAGCATGAGACCTCAAGTTAGTGCTACAACATCTCACAAGTGAGGATTATGAGCCTTTACAAGACGCAACTTTCTCACTCAAAAAACGATATTTCTCCTTGCTTTAGCTACAGCAGCTAGAATGTTGGAAATACATGCTCTTGACTTCACACGAACGAGGTTCGACACAGGAGGGCATGCAGCAATCCATGTAGGACTGAGATGGGATTTCATAGCAAAGAATCAACTTCCTGGTCAACCAGATCGTCAATTTCATGTACCAGCACTGTTGTCAGTCCTTGGACATCAAGACAGAGGGGATTTATACTTATGTCCAGTAAGAGCTTTAAGAATCTACTTACAACGAACTACGACAAGAAGGAGAAAGTTTAAACGTCTCTTCATCCCATTATCAACTGCTACATCGATTGAGGTCTCACGAACCACAATATCCTTTTGGATTAGAGCAGTTATTTTGAGAGCCTACAAAACAGCAGGATTACTGCCACCTACAGCATGCAATCCACACGAAATAAGAGCATTAGCATCAACACTCGCACTACATGGGAATTGCTCGTTATCATCGATCATGGAAGGCTGTTTTTGGAGGTCTGACACGGTGTTTGCTAATCACTATCTACGAGAGATTGCGACAGAGGATGTATCAGGCATTCACCAGTTCGGACCACTAGTAGTGGCTCAACAACTCACAAATCCAACCAGACATTGAGAACTCACCCAAATCACGTTGACTTGAAGACGCTTAGGCAGCTGTCCCATTGCCACCAGTGGAGAGTCCATGTCCACCTGTCTTACTTGAGAAGTCAGTGCATGAGTGATATAAACCTTGTTAAGTAATAGTCCTTACTTAACTTATGGGTTGCGATACCAGTTTCGGTAATAGTCCTTACCTTAACATATGGATCGTTTGGAATATCTAAAATACTAGATTATCTAAAACCACGCAAATCTATAAGATTTACTTCTCTTAATCAATTAAGAGTAGGTGGTCCCCCTATATGACAAATTCACAAGGGAAGGCAACAACAGGATTTTACAGGGGGTAAGCGTTCGGACTATATATAGACAGCCACAGTGAATCCCGTTAGGTGGCTGACCCACCACCTATTCCGTCGGATTTCATAAGCAATAATCATGAGTCAGGATAAGGAAAAATATGTAATTTTTATGATAAAATTATTATTTTTATACTTATCCTGACTCATGAGGTAAGCCCTCCCAGACCGTCCCCACTCTCAGCATTACGGTTCTTCACTGTAAGTCACAATGCAGGCATATTACGGAGAGAGTGATAAGAGCTAGTCTCGGGTCACGTGGGACCGGTTTTGGCGGGAATAAGGGAGGTAACTCGGGGTGAGTGATTGTACGGAGCTTCAGTGAATTTGAATAGGATTCAAGGTTACCACTTGACCATCGAAGGAGAAGGGAGATAAGCAATAATCATGAGTCAGGATAAGTATCAAAATAATAATTTTATCATAAAAATTACATTATTAAGATATTGCAAAATATACTGATTGTTTGTTCATCAATATTTTCAGCATGGGAGCCACTATTCCTCCACTCAAGGAAACACCTAAGACTGAACCTCCTCCAAAAGCTGAGGTGAGGTTTTACTTCAGCATTGCATCGTAAATAAATGTATTGTGTTATGATGTCATTTGTTGAGAGACACATCCTTCTCATATTCATTACAAAGCATTTTATTTCTCCAGTCTTTTATGATAATTACACTTCACCTATTTGCAACTGAAGAATATATTTGAATTAAATTTGAATTGAATTTGAATAAGGAAATGGATGAAAATAGCCACCCAATCAATATGTGGGCCATTTTAGCTGAGATTCATCAAGTGCATCAAAACAATTGCTGGTCCTCATTGGCTGCTGTCCTGGTCCAGGTTATTCATGGATCACCAGGGGCGGTGGGGTAGACTAGTGGTTAAAGCGTTCACTCGTCTTGCCAAAAACCTGGGTTCGATTCCCCCTGTGGGTACAATGTGTGAAGCCCATTTCAGGTGTCCCTGCCGTGATATTGCTGGAATATTGCTGAAAGCGGCATAACACCAAACTCACTCACTCACTCACTCACTCACTCACTCACTCACTCACTCACTCACTCACTCACTCACTCACTCACTCACTCACTCACTCACTCACTCACTCACTCACTCACTCACTCACTCACTCATAGATCACCATGGCAAACTATGTGACCTGTTTCTCACCATCTTTTTCAGTTGGGTTTAGTTTTATCATACTGATATGTGTATAGTGTTATAAGATGAGCCTTATAGGGCAGAGTCATGTTTTGTTTTTGCACTAGTCTCTCAATTTGGATTAATTTTCTCTTTATAATACAGAGTGGTGTTATGTTTCAGCCTACTCCTGAACCAAAGATGGAAGAAGAGGCGGAACCAGAAGAGGAAGACGTTGAGAGTGATGTTGGTAATGAAGGAGTCTTGTTTTACATTAAATAAATCACAAGCACTCATACGAGTGGCAATTCAAAATGTTCAGAAAGATTTTTAACAAGTATTGGATAATGGCAACATGTATTTGTCTTGAGGACAAAAAACATTAAAGATGTATAGAGTTCTGCCCTTTGTTGATGCCAGGACGTGCAGATCTGTGGGACTGTCACCACCCATTCAATGCATGGGGGGGGGTCTCTAGATCCATTGCTATGGTAGAACGAGTAATAAGGTGACTGTAAGTTATGACTCAACCCAAGTATTGGTACACCCTTTAACATCTGGTGATATTTCCAAGAATGTGATGAATCATGGATGTAGCCATTATTTATTTCCCCTGACCATCTTTTTTAGAATTCTTGCACCCCTAATGTAATATTATCAATTATCTATGTATCTCTTGCCATCTTCAACAGAATTGTTACACCCCTAATCATTCTTTAATATTCTCCATTATATTTTTATTGTTGTTACACTCCTAAATATTTTGTGATATTCCTCAGAACTTGACGAGTCTGGTGTGGTAAAAGATGAAGATGGCGAGCTTCCAGAATATGCTGATGAGAACACAGAAGTAACAGAAGAAATGATTGATATAGCAAACGATAGACGCAATGAGGCCATGGACGCTGCAAATGATGGTAGGTCCCTATTGATTGGTTGAATTTTGAATATTTGGAGGGGAGTTGTCATGAAACTGAATGAGCAATGTATGCATTTATCTCCCCTTGCTGACACATGTATTCTGAATATAATGTATACCTAATGAGGTTGGATATACAAAATTTTGAATATGAATAAGTTGTTGATGAAACATGTTGATTGTGGGGAATGGTTTGAGAGAGCCTTGGATTTAAGTTTATAGATAGTCAGTTGTGACATAACCATGGTGAAGCTCGTAGGTTGAGTCTTTGTTTATGATTGTATTGGACCAGTTTTCTATATTAAGGCTGCTTGTTGTGGTTGAAGCTGTTGTTGCCAACATTTGCTTACTGTAGTCAAATATTGGAAAATAAACAGCAGAAAGTTTAAATGTATTTTAGTTACTAAATTGTGTTACTTTCATTTTCCATGTCTACTTTAATGAATACATAGTAAGCTTTATTTTGTAGATATTTTCCACATATATGAAAAAACAAATATCATGCAAGCAGTGCTTGAAGTGTTTTCAACGCAAGTCTCATATTTTCATGTATTACAGAATCATGTTTATGTATACATATATATATCAATAATTTGTATCATTACGAACCTAAGTGTGTTTCCTAGGTGCAAAGTGATATTCACGTGATATTCGTGCAGTGTTTCCCAAGCGTTGTTCTTTATGACATTGACATCTGTGACATCTAATACACATTTGACTATGCCATCGACGATTAATGTTTGTGTAACAAGACTTTTCCTGATCAGGCAGAGTGGAGGCCTTCCCTGATCTACGCATCCCTCTGCCTCCAATTCGCAAGAGTTACACAATCGCTGAGAAGATCTCAACTGTCATGTGGTTCCGAAGTAATGGAAGAAATTTATCATTGACGGAGCGGAAATTTGGGAATTTCACGGAAAAGCCTTCGGACTTGGGACAAGGAATATGACAGATTGTTAGAACATTCAGCCAATAACAAGATGATGAGAAGAAAGATCGGTAGTGGTGCAGAACCAAGATCTCATAAGCTGGATAACGAAGTGTTTAATTGGTTTTTAGCTATGAAAAATGCAGGAACTCTAATAAATAACTGCATGCTAATGAATCAAGCTCGGCAGGTTGCTCGGAGTTTGAACATAGATAACTTTCAAGGTAGCTATGGCTGGCTACGACGGTGGAAGATGAGGTTTAATGTTGATGGTTCTGAATATGTGAAAGATCGAAGAAGGAAGAATTGTCCTTCCAGTACAGCCATTGTTACTGGCAATGGGGTTGATGCTGGAATATTTACGAACGCAACAACCAAGGGAGAGAATCCTATGTTTCCTGGCATTAGATTCGAAAATTGTGAGACAGTTGAAACTGACCCTCTTCATTATTACAGAGGTCATTGTGTGACTTCTTTTCCATCTGTGAACAAGTCCGAAAGATATTTTGATAGTGACTGTACTTTGAATAATTCTCACATAAAAAATTCAGCAGAAAATAAGTTTGATAAGTCTCTACTCATGGAGGACCACAATCCTATTACGAATCTAGTTTTTCAAAATGAAGATCATATACCTGATTCAGCGTCTGGTTTGTCACAGGACCTTATCCATGAAATATACAATCGTAAAGTACCAAGATATGTGATCATCAAATCCGAGCCCGAATTATTTTCTTCTGAATCAACTGAAAGCCAGGATGAAATATTAAAGAATAGACTACGTCATGATTTTAAACAGTGTTCCCGAGTTTACAGTGAAATGATTTGAAACAAAAGGAGAGTCCCCACTTGTTTAGCGGAAGAAAATCTCTGTATTGTGAAGATGTGCTGCTTTATATTTCCAAGCCTCCAGGATCCGCTTGTCAGCATTACAAACCTCAGTGTCAGTTATTCCAAATATGAATGTTGACAAAAGAATCGTCAAGAGAGTGGTGAAGATTGGACAATGAGAGACATATTGCATGTGAAGAACTAGTCTGTGTCTCCCTTCGCAAATGGAGACGATAACGGTAGGTGTGATAAATTGTTTATTTTGTAAAAGTAGTAGTTATCTTTTTGTCCATAGGTGATTATGATGAATCTGACAAAGTATATTAGTGCATCGAATGAATTCCAGTATTCTGGCTTCTGGATAACATGACATCTATGAAGAGTAAAGCTTCAACAATATTAAATGGTATGGTTGCGTAATAATGAGTTACTGTTTTTTAGACATTGTAACTTGTAAACAGAATAGAAGGTCCATTATACATATGAAGATCCAGGTTAGGATTGATCTTCAGCAACCCATGCTTGTCGCAAGAGGCAGCTTACAGGATCGTTGACTTCGTTGACACATGTCATCGTATCCCCTATGGGCAATAAAGGATTATCTTATCTTATCCTACTTGCGTAAATTGATGCACATGCTGTTGAACACTGGATTGTCTGGTCCAGACTAGATTATTTACAGACCGCTGTCATATGGCTGGAATATTGCTGAGTGCGGCATTAAACAATAAACCAAGCAACCGCTGTTGTGTGCTTGCAAGAGTTATCTCCCTTTACGTTTTTGCATGCATGCATCATTGCATGTATCATTGAACAGTAAGTTGTTGCTATTTCTCGGCATAACAATCAATATTTTTAGGACATACTTATTACAGACACGACGATTGCATCATAATTTGTACACTTTTACAAAAGTGTTTAGTGTGTTCAGGCAAAATCATTATATTTTATTGTTTTTGTTCTCTTGCAAACATAAGGCAATTTGATTGCCCATCCTATAAGGTACAAACATTTGCTGTTTAGAGTTTCACATGCCTTAGGCACATCAGAAACCCATCATCATGGTTTGAATTTTGGTGCATCTGAATTATATTTCTTGGTTTGTCTGCACTAACCTCATGCTCGTGACCCGTGAAATTCCGGGTTGAAATTGATCTACAGCAATCTATGCTTGACATAAGAGGCGACTAACAGGATCAGGGGGTCAGGCTCGCTGACTTGGTTGACATACGTCATTATATACCAATTTTGTAGAATGATGCTTATGCTGTTGATCACTGGATTGTCTGGTCCAGATTCGATTATTTACAGACCACTGCCATATAGCTTGAATATTGCTGAGTGCAGCATAAAACTAAACTAACTCACTCACTCAATCGTTGGATTCACTGAAGTTGTGACTGTCTATGATCTGAAGCTGACATGTCAGAATATAACTGGAATACTGTTTTAAGTGATGTGAAACCACTCACTCACTTGTCAAAATTTTGATGTGTGATAGACAGATAGATAGACAGATTTCATGATGGTATGTATGTAAGATTCATTTGTCAGTAGCACATGCACAGCTAATCTCGTTTTGTTCCAGGATTCTCTGATTGTGGCTGTTGAAGAACTTGAAAGGTGAAGACTGAAGAGCCACAAGTCCAGATATTTATATTGATTGCTTAGTGTCAAGGAACATTCTGCAGTGGTTAATCATGTTGATGTACATGTATTGCTGGTGCTTGTATTGGTGATTTTGCTAGAATTCTTCCAATAGCTGCGTAACAGTGGCTTCACACGGGCAAATAGCGTCAGACACCTGAAGTTTGCAAATGTATGTTTTCACACGACAAATATGTGTTGTTACTTACTTCCTCTCCTCACCTGATACCTTGCAGATTTAAGTTAAAATTGGGGGAAACGTTTGCAGTATCTGATTGAGCAACATATGTTTGACGATACCTTATCAATTTTACTCGCCATGACTAAGTTCAAACACGTGTGGCGGTGGGTAGCCGAGTGGTTAAAGCGTCCGCTCGTCACGCCGAAGACCCGGGTTCGAATCCCCACATGGGCCCAATGTGTGAAGCCCATTTCTCGTGTCCCCTGCCGTGATTTTGCTGAAATATTGCTAAAAGCGGCGTAAAACCATACTCACTCGCTCAAAAACGCTTAAGTGGTAATATATTGCCTAAATATTGATGAGAGTAGTAACCAATACCTTACTTCAAACACACTAATTATTGCCTTAAATATTGGCGAGAGTAGTAACCAAGCACTTTTTTGCCAACAATTTGACAAGCTTCACAAGGTGTTTTGGAAACCGTTTTCACAGTGTTCCATAAATCAATAAACTTTTGGTTTCAAAGCCACTTCACACTGATTCTCATCTTCAGGGTGCATAGTATAAGTGCTTGTGAGATTACTGACAATTTTGTTTGAATTTATTATCTTATTTTGGTCAGGCTCATATTATGAAAGGGTGGTGGGGTAGCCCAGTGGTTAAAGCATTGGCCTGTCACGCCGAAGACCCGGGTTCGATTCCCCACATGGATACAAAATGTGAAGCCCATTTCTGGTGTCCACTGCCGTGATATTGCTGGAATATTGCTAAAAGCAGCATTAAACGGTACTTACTCACTCATATTATGAAAGCTAGAACAGTTTTTAGTTATTCTGATATTTGTGTCACTGACCATATTGAAAAGTGCTCTAAGGTGATGATGATGTAGGGGATCCAAAAACAACCACACTGTTTGTATATTCTTGTCAAATAATTTGTTTACTGACTTGACGAGGTGTTGTGTATACAGAAGTGAAAAAAAATCGTTGTTGGATTTCAAGATCAGATTAACATGTTGTTTTGACAAGAAAATACAATTAACCTTTTATTTTGGATCTTCCTCATGATTGTCTTCTGAAAACAACAGTGTCATCAAGGAAGACAGAAAGTAGTTCCGGCATAAAGTTTTTATTTCCCTTACTGAAATTATAAGTTTAAGTTATTCCACATGTGAGATATGAATTTATGTTTTGTGACAATGAAACCGTATTTCATCACAGAAGACATAATATAGCTGACATTACGCTGAATTTTCTCATTCATTTGGTAGATGGTCCTTTTCATACCTAAACAAAAAACAGTATTAAGATGTGCGATAAGATATTGCAGTATTATATGTATTATAAACTTACAATTAATGAGACATTGTTGAAATATCATGTATTATGCAAATGTAATATAAAATCAGTAC